ACAATGCGATTGCAATTTTCGCCATCGGATTCGCAGATGGTCACATAATCACTAACGTGTCCCTAGGAGAGGGCACGTTACCAGCAGGATGGGATACGGGAGCTGGGCCCAGAGGGCCTATCTGCTTATGGCCCTGGGTTGGAGCTGGAGACAATAACATAGAAGCCTTTAATTGTTTGAAGATACAGCCTACTTGGATGGAAGACAATGCGTTAGTGAAAAAATTAATAAGCTTACTCAATTTAGATAATTATATATCCAACTTCTCTAATTCGGACGTGAAGCAGCCATGCTTTCTAATTTAGAAGGAGATGCAGCTGCTATAGACAGCCGACACTTAATTGCATTGATGGTTAAATTAACTAAATGCCCACCTCAAGTTAAAAGGACTGGAGCCCATAGACTACCCCGTGAATGTCGTTACTAATCTTGACACATGAATGTCAAGACTTAATTACCTATGTTGCACGGCTGCTTCGCGACAAAAATTGCCAGGATGATTCGGACTTAATTTTAATCCCGAAACTACTTCCAACCTCAGGTCTCCTCGTTACGACGTCGATGGACTTTGGTAACTGTTTAATGCCAAGCGAGTAAATTTAGACACCGCGAAGTGAATGTTGCTTGAAGCAGCTCGGTTTTATCCTCAAAATCGGTTCTGTTGCTGCACGACTTAGGTGGATAGGTTAGTTTTGAATTTGTAGAGGCAGATGATAAGGGGTTGCAACAGTATGGCAGTTCAGAGAGCCGTAAGACTATTATCATTAAAAAGCCTCCTAAAAATTTATGAAGATCTGCGGATTTATGGTAGACTAGCTTTTGCCTGTGACTCCGTCCGTGTGAAATAGTTACTTCGGCATAACGCTAAATTTTACCCTCCACTTCATTTACGTAGAAAGTGAAAATATTTTTGAATTATAGAATGTTAAGGAGCTATTTAAACCCTTATTTTGAAACATTATTTAGTGGTGCTCCACTTGTATTGGTCTTACCGTGATGTTATATAGCCTATAGCCTTCCTCAATAAATGAGTTATCTAACACTGAAATAATTTTTCAAATCGGACCAGTAGTTCCTGAGATTAGCGCGTTCAAACAAACAAACTCTTCAGCTTTATAATATAAGTATAGATAAGTATTAGTGGTAGCTAGCTCGAAATTGCTGGACTTCTATCTCAGAAGATTCCGATGCCATATAAAATCATCTGATGGAAGATGATGATGATGATGAAGAAGATGGAGAAAATATTGTTGAAATTCCAGAGATAAAATTAACAAACTTCGCATCGGTGAGCTAGCTCTGGCCGGCAGCCACAACGCGGGAGCGTAGCGCTTCGACACGGAACTCAGCAGCTTAGCCAGAGACAATTTCATTTTGTGCCAGGATCGCTCCATTTGGGCACAACTAGTCCACGGCATCAGATACTTAGACTTTAGGATTGGCTATTATGATTTTTACGACAAAGAGGAAGACAGGTGAGCCATGAAATCAATAAGTAAGCTATTTTAATTTAATTTCTAATTATTATTAAACATACAAATCTAAAAAATTTAAATTTGATAAATTTTACAAAACACAACGAACTTTCATTGAGTTTCAAACTTGAATTAGCGTTAATGAAATCACCAGCAAAAAATTTGACAACTACAAAGAGTTTTTTATTTTCTATAATGTCGTTCTAACATTATTTAATTATTTATTCTACAATTTAATTGCACCAAACATTGTTGAGTTTTATTGAGACAAATCGTAGTTTGAAAAATTGTAAATTTGTAATTTAAAAAATATATATGTACATATGCTTAAGTATAAACAGCTAAAATTGAATGACTTCATTTAATTAAATTAAAACAACACATATTTTAATACACTACTGTAATTTGATACCAAACGTGTAATATTGCATAATATGTATTATACACATATCGAGGGGTATCGCTCAATACGTGACCTTTATCTTTGTAATCAAAAGAGTTTTTTATTTGATATTAGCATCAAAATTTCAATGTTTTTTAGCTGAACTTCAATTAAGTTGAAGTATATTCAAACAACTGAAGATTTTTTTGTTATGATATTTTTTCCAAATTTTAAGCTTTTTTTTGTTGTTGCTTACATATGTGGACGAGCTCATAATCCACCTGGTGTTAAGTGTTTACCGGAGCCCATAGACATTTACAACGTAAATGCGCTATCCACCTTGAGATATAAGTTCTAAGGTCTCAAGTATAGTTACAACGGCTGCCCCGCCCTTCAAGCCGAAACGCCGAAACACTTCACGGCAGAAATAGGCAGGGTGGTGGTACCTACCCGCGCGGACTTACAAGAGGTCCTACCACCAGTAAAGTAAAATGGCTCTCCTCTAAATTAGCAAAAATATCGCTTAAACCAAATAGCTTTTCACCCCTCGATATAGAATACGTACATAAAATTAGAAAAACTTTTGCAGAGACATTTTTTTTTTCATAAATAAATTAATTAATTTAACGCTATTTTTGTAGATATTGGCTCAATCATAACTTAGTCAGGGTTCGACCTCTGGTACCGCTTTTGAAAGAAATCAGAGCGTTCTTGGACATCACCAATGAGGTGAGTTAAAGTTTAATGTACCAATATAGTCAATTAGTTGTGAACTTAAGTTAACCAAAAAAACGGTTTTACATGGCTTATGAGTTTCTTCATTGCCATGCTCATATTTGGACGGGAATATAATAATAGCCACAAAATAGGAACAAAACGAGATTTACTGTAAAATCATATTAATACGCTTTTATTAGCTTCAGACGTATGTTAGTATGTTGGTATGTAACGAAATCTTTGAACATGATTTAGACCCACCTCAAAACGTCGGATTAACTCGAAATTTGGTATACTTATTAAAGACCGACGACAATACAATATTAAAAAAAATTATTGAAAAATTTAAAAATTCAACTAAAATATGAAAAATAAATAATAGTTTAAAAAAACTAACAAAATACGCTTTTATAGAAAATCCAACTAAAAAATGGAAAATAAATTTGAATTAAAAATAGTGTAAGAAAAAGTGATTTTATTGTAAAAAACTGTTTTTTTAACAATTTTTTTACACTATCACGTATTTTGTTAGTTTTTTTTAAACTATTATATTTATGTTTTTAATTATTTTAGCTGGTGTTCCTTGATGCCCATCACTTTCCAATCGGCTTCTACAATCCTGACGGAACACCGATCAGAGATGTACATCAAGGCTTGCTAAGAATTATACAAAGGGAGCTGGGACCGCACATAGCACCGGCCAATCGATTTGCCACCGGAGCCGGAAGCAGAGGTCCGACAGTACAGAGTCTGATTGATGCAAATCAAAGACTACACTTCAGTTACGTCGATAACATAATAGTTAATGGTATGCTTTCATCTGTTTTTTTATTTATTTCATAATTGTTAGTCAAGAGGAGATCCAGGTAGATGGTAGGACCTCTTGTGAGTCCGCGCGGGTAGGTACCTCCGCCCTGCTTATTACTGCCGTGAAGCAGTAATACGTTTCGGTTTGAAGGGTGGGGCAGCCGTTGTAACTATACTGAGACCTTAGAACTTATTTCTCAATGTGGGTGGCGCATTTACGTCGTAGATGTCTATGGGCTCCAGTAACCACTTAACACCAGGTGGGCTGTGAGCTCGTCCACCCACCTAAGCAATAAGATAATAATAATAATAAAAAATTGTATCAAATACGGCAAATACATACATGTGATCTACATACAAACAACGACTTTATGACTTTATATTTTACCATTTCAATGGATCAAATTGAAGAAAACGCAGATTAATAATCTTTATACCAAGAATGGTGGTTTATACTGGTGGTAGGACCTCTTGAGTCCGCGCGGGTAGGTACCACCGCCTTGCCTGTTTCTGTCGTGAAGCAGTAATGCGTTTCGGTTTGAAGGGTGGGGCAGCCGTTGTAACTATACTGAGTGGCGCATTTACGTTGTAGATGTCCATGGGCTCCAGTAACCACTTAACACCAGGTGGCCCGTGAGCTAGTCCACTAATCTAAGCAATAAAAAAATTAAAAAAATTGTTTCATTACTCGATCTATCAAAAATAAACAGTACCCCTTAATTACGCCATCGCTGAATGAATTATAATTGTTTTTTGAAATCGACTTCACATTTAAAAGACATCTTGTATTTATTTCAGAAAACAATTGGTTGTGGCCGAATCTGCCACATCTTTGGGCGAGAACTAACAATCCCACAGAGCTATTCTTATACTTAGACCAGGCGATTAGCGCGTCACCACAGCCGACGGCACGCTCGCCAATGCACTCAGCAATGGCCCAAACCACGCCTTCTGTTCTCGACATTCTATTGTTACGCGGCTCTCTGCGTATTAATGCTGATGGAGTTAATCGTAGGGTGACGGCCCGTCTCACATCACTCTGGCGACCAAACGCGAACATTGTCTCCACAGATTTCTTCCTCGGCAACGACGTCATCGATGTATCCATAGCGATTAGCGTGGAGCGTGCTGAGCAGTTATGACGTCATCGAGCTCGTAATAAGACGGGAGGTCTGCATTTAAACAATAAAGTCCATATCACAGTACCTGTGCTACCTCCCAGAGTTCCGTAGCTCCCGCGCAAAACAGACCACTCAACTTTGCTCTGATTGGAATAACCGTCTTCACTCATACGATGAAGATTGACATAGTAATTTGAATCCGCAATTTTATAATGTTAGTACATGTGACCGGTGTCACATTAACGATTTTGAAGCGGAGCCAAATAGTTCGTTGATTTACTATTAAATTATTAACATTTGTATTTTAGCTCATAGTTCAAAACTAGTCTTGTACGCTGTAGTAAAAAATTTTATTGTACATAATTAAACATGGTGCCAAAGTGATATTGGTTTCTTTTTCTCTCTCACAAAATACAATTTCAAAATAAAAATATGAAACAAACCACACCACTAATCTTTACTTAAACAAATAAACATAATTATTTTACAATAATAAATATATATAGTTACATTAAAGCTTATGGTAAGTTTGAATTTCTTGTACTTGAACTCAGAATTAACGAGGTAGATTAAACGTGCTAAAGAGCACTAAATTGTCCGCACTAAAAACAAATCTCTTCACACGTGCGGTGCGAGGAGCGGAAACAACTCCGCATGACTCATTCTAGAGAAGGCGCCTGCGTCTATTCCCATAGCTGCCGCCGCTCCGTGTACATCCATCCCGAAGCTTTGCAAAAGCGTTGCCAACGCCACTTCTTCCCCGGTCCGAGGGTCGCGAAGTCGCGGACAGGACCCGTTACACTGAGGCCAAGAACATATTTCAACGAGCCTCCGGGGGGCACAACCACCGCGAACATGTGTCTTTTTTGCTCGCCCCAAGCGGCGTTCCCAGCAGGCGAGCGCACGAGGTAGGGATATACCGGATACATTTATGGCGAGCCATTCTGGCCTTGCGAGTGCGCCGTGCGCGAGGCACGCCGGCGCATACACAGTCCGAACCGAATCGAGACTCGTTCGTAGAGCGACACCAGTTTTATGAACCATTTCCCACTGCGTTCTAGTTCGAGGTGCGCGAACACCTTCGGCGGCTAATTGTGCCGAATCAAACAGGTATTGGAACACGAACAACGGAGTCCGGATATGTGGGTACAGTCGATATCCAAAATAACACAGCCATGGTTCTTTAACATGTTTTCGCACACATGAATTTGGTGGAGTACCACGCCACAAAGAATGACCGAGACGCGCTATAGCGGCTGCAGGAACCCGTCGATCGCGCGCCGGTCGATCTAGGAACCAGCCGGAATCTGAGACAGCGGCGACTTTTATTCTTTTCGATCGTAAGGCACGTCTAGCTGCATCCACGTGTAGCATCACACCAGTCCCGCCCGCACTAGACCCAACGAACATAAGTCGACCAGACAGTCCTGCCCGCAAGAGATCCTCAAGCACTCCCTCCACAATTAATCTCCCGGTAAAAGAAAATCCTCCAACTGCATGCGTTGCGGTTCGTGTACCCGACCACATATCACTCGAACAGTACGGAAGAAGGACGTGGTTTGAGGCGTGCCACAGCGGGTTAGCAGTTCGTTCTGCAGACAGCAGCGCAGGTGCTCGACGAACTCTTGGCCAACGAGTGGAAGACATGAGCGCTGGTCGTCGCCGCCACCGTGCTCTGCATGACGCTGTATCCCAACAGTATCCACCGCCTTCAAGATATACCACCCAGTGTTCACTGTTAGAGCCACGGCGAAAATAATATCTGAAATATTTGTAATTATATTTGTGTTAAATTATATATAACGAGCGTTTCCGAACGATCCATATTAATATTATAATTATGAAAATAACTATTTCTGTCTGCTACGTGTTCGGGCTCAAGCCTCTAAGCCAATTTTGAGTAAATTAGATAAGTACCACTGGGGAAAAAATTACACTACCTTTCATCTTACTCTCTAACACGACATAAAGTGTAATTCACGCAGGTGAACCTGCAGTCAGAATGCTTATTCTAAATTTAATTGTAGCGGATACATCGTAGAAGACAAGATACTTGACAGATGCCTGAATCTTGCTAACAACGTCGTTAATAGCGTCGTTATCCTCAAATAACTGGTTTACTGGCGGTAGGACATCTTTGGAGTCCTAACGGGTAGGTACAACCACCACGCTTATTTCTGCCGTGAAGCAGTAATGCATTTCGGTTTGAAGGGTGGGGTAGCCGTTGTAACTATATTGAGACCTTAGAACTTATATCTCAAGGTGGGTGGCACATTTACGTTGTAGATGCCTATGGACTCCAGTAACCACTTAACACCAGGTGGGCTGTGAGCTCGTCCACCCATCTATGCAATAAAAAAAAATGTTATTTTATTTAAACATAATTAATGAATACTAGTCTTACCCTGTTGGAGAGCCGTCGTTGCAAGTTAGTGTAGTATTAGAGAGCCAGACTAGTTTCAAACTGTCGGGGGGCGCCGCACTCCCGCTGACCGAACTTAGAATAGCCTAAAACAGAAAATAAAACCTTAGAGAAATTGAATCAAAATGTGACCATTTTGCGTTACAGACCCCGGATCTTTAGTACGATTGGAAAATTTCTTGAATCGAATTTACAACATTCTAAGCTCTGTGGTTCTTTAATTTTCTTTAAAAAATAATAATTAAGTGATTGAACGTTTTAAACTAGATATTAAAATTATTTTATGTAATTAAACTACATTCCGTTAGTCAGAAACGCTTGAGCCCAATAAAATACATTCATTTTAATAATACATAACCCTACCGCCGTAAATTAAATATTGAATTTCATAGTAAATATACATGTGTATACTAAATTAATATTCGATAATCTTACACCACCAAACAAACCAGCTGGTTAAATCAGTGGATGCGTATGCAAAAACAGGCTCCCAACCGCAACAAAATACATATTCTGCATTATACAAAACAATTTGAGTACAATTTTGTTCTGTCCCGAACCTGAGATCGCTTTTATCAGACGCATGTAATATCACTGAGCTACGAGCGTGTTTCGATGTGATCAAAGCGGTATCTTCGTAATTCGGATAGAAAACTAGTTTTTAATAATTTCAACATAATTATTATTCATCGATGAAACCAATTATTACGTCTAATATTATCAAAAACACTTGAACTTCCCGGTAAGATGCATTTCAAACTAATACTTAAACTTATGAGCTTGTCGATTAATCGTGACTAGGTCAATAAGTAATAACACAACGATATGTGCTATACGCATTATCCATATATCAACTTAAGTTACAAAACTTATTGGCTTAGCAAAAATTAAAAATACGTCACAGATTTTTCTCAGTCCGTGCTACACAAATGAGTTTATTTTACAAAAAAACATCGATATAATTTTATTTTGAAAAGAATACAAACAAAGAAATAAAATAAATAAATTTATGGTATCGTCGCCTGATGTTGAAATTCATTATGGATTTGCGAAACGTTTTGTATGTTTACTGAGACACGTATGATATTTATGGTTTATGAGACTTTTATTGTGAGTGCTGCTCTAATTGTAACAACTTTTATTAAATAATTATCATTCCTTCTTTCATAATTACACTCGATTACTCTGACATAATTTTTTGTAACTTATTTATATATATTTTTATAAACTAGCAAAACAGAACACGTATGCCAATCTTAAAAAAAAAAAATCATTCTATAAATACTTCATCGCATATAATTTCATTGACTTGTACCTGGTCTATTAAATGTTTTATCGTGTATTTAAGCTATGCATACCGTGTATTTATGTAAATATAAATTTAAGCAACTATTTGGTTACCCAAAACAAAGCATAAGATAAGATTGCAAAATATCTTAAAACTTTGTTTTTAACCATTAACCTGGATCAACAAACAGCTGTATAATAATAAGTCAATAAAACCTAATTAGTAATTAACTTCAATCTATACAGAAAACCACGTTATCCCCAAAAAAAATTAAATTAGCAGTTGTTATAATCTTTTTGAAGTTTAAATGTCACAGTATGCGAAAACCGTTTGTTTGTTTATCAAATTAATGTAATTTTAATGTGATTTTATCTTCCGATAGACAGGACGTTGGTTATCTAGTAAATTGCTTTTTAATTGTTCAGTAATAATAATAAGATAATCTTTGACATGCATAACATCCGGTGAAGGTTTCTACCGCGAATAATTGAATCACTTCGATTATACGTAAATTTATTATTTCAAATAGGTTTTAATACGGATTTCAGTAAAGAGTTCACAGTAAACATACCTACCGCTTTTGTGAACTTTTTAGATTTAAACATTTTTACTCGCGTATTAACTGGGCAAAGTTTAAAACGTTTTCGCACATAGCAACAATATTTCACGTGGGTATTTTAATGAAACATGATTCGGAACTTAGTGTAGAGAGGCTAACTTACGTACTCACACGACATAACAAAGAATGTCTCAATATGACAATTAGTATTAAAAAAGAGAAAATATAACAAAAGATAAGTAATTTATATGTAACTCTATTTTAATCAAATCCTGTATATATTTATATTATTTTAATTAGAACTAGTTTTACGGTTTAATCACGCGTTTATTTTCATTTTACTATTTCGTTTCGAAGTACCTACCTCGATACTTTATAGTTTTCGTGGTCACGAACGACTTGTCGGGATATTAAAATTAAAATAACAACCGCAAGATTATGCTGTAAAAGTAGTTTTAATTATTTTAATTATATATATATATATAATCGTTATTGTTTTAATTATTATTGTTATGAAATAAATATTTTAATTTTAATTAAATAGGTATAAGTATATACGACTTGCGAAAATACCTATAAGAAGATTTTTTTTTTTTTTAATTCATTTTAAAGCTCTTATAATGTTGAGAGACGACTTGACGATTAAATATTTATTACTTTCCTAGGGAAGCGAGGAATTAAACCACCGGAACTAAATAAATTAAATCGAAGCAAAAAGCTTAAATTTTTATTAAATTTTCTTTTATATTAAAATGTCCACTTCATAATATTTTTAACCTTTAAATAAAATAGCCCTAAGAAAAACTAAAAATATCTGTATCACATCACTTTCTTAAAACACACAAACACAATATATTTTTTTTACATTTAAGATGTCGTTTTTGAATTTAGAAAAAAATATGCGAAACAATTAAGAACAATGCGTACACAAATCGTCCATGTAATCCAGTTCCAGGTGTAGCGGCATTTAGCGCCGCGGCGTCGAGTTCTCATCGCTTCGGAGAGCGGAAAACAAGCGAACACGAGCGCGGAAATAGATCCAAAGCACACCCCATACTGGAAGGCGCGCGCGCACCACTGACTGAACGGTCGCCGGACCCGCCCCGCCTGCACGGTAGCGCTCCTGCTGTTTACAAAATAAAGCCTCTATTTAGAGCGAGGCGAGGGCGAAGGGCCCCACGCTTGTCGCGCAACTTCGGACCGAATAAAGGTGAGCGAGCAGCGGCTCGTTTGTGCGGCAGGCAGGGGCGAGACCGGCTCCGGCGGCAACATCAAACGCGCCGCAGATCAAAGGAGCCGCCGCGCGATCGGCATCCGTCATTATTATTATGCAAGCATTACGAGGCGCGCGTGACTCAGACGAGAGGGCCACGCGAGCGTCCCCCCTCCCGCGCCGGCCTTGTCCGCGACTACCACCCTTCATCTGTCATCAACTTATTCGAACAAACAATCGCCCTAAGCATATACCGTTTACATCCCCAATTCTGCTTATTGCAAATCGCTCGATGTTCGTTAGCCGAAATATTTTTAATGCCATCGAGATATTATGTACTACGTTAATCTCGATGTTTAGAGCTAAAAAAAATTAAAATTAAAATAACTTTATTGCTTTCATCCACTTCAAAGGTTTGTTACTGAATAACAAAAAGTTTATATTAAAGAAGGTTTTCACAAGCGCTTCCAAACAGAGCTAGCTACTTTAAAAACACAAAAAATTATATTTATTTTAAGGCATCAATTCTAAATCTAATAATATGTATATCTGAGCGATAAAACGATTATGGCGTTATAATAGAAATAAATTAATATTAATTAAACGTCATTAATCTGTTGGCAATGAAATGACCACTCACTAGGTTTCTTCCCCTCTCTTCTTCTTCACCTACGTTTCTTTAATTTTATGATCAGTATCTGTCCTGATGCAACGATTAAGCTAATTACACACAAAGCAATAACTAGTAAATGCTGCTTATAAAAAAACTTCGAAACATATAAAAAATTGTACTATAATTCGTTCTTATCGCAAAAAGCTCAGATTACCAAAAGCATAAATTAGTACCATTGATACGTTCGTTTTTAAAATGTCAAGGCAATGTATACTCGTAATACTAATTGATTAAGATAATTTCTCCTATTACGAACTACAACGGTTTTTTAATATGAACTAGCTGACCCGGCAGACTTCGTAGTGCCTCAATCGATAAATAAAAGACCTAAACTTTTGTATAAAATAAACTTAAAACAAACAAAAGGAATTTTCATATTTATCTACCTTTTAAACCTTCTCTGGACTTCAACAATTAAATCAAGACCAAAATTAGCCAAATCATTCCAGCCGTTCTCAAGTTTTAACGAGACTAACGAACAGCAATTCATTTTTATATATATATAGATAACATAACAAAAGTCAATTGTATATTTTTGTAATGAGGTAATTTCATACTTCTCCATCTAACGGCTTTCTGTAAGGTATTACTGCTAAGGTTGAAGTGGTCTGTTCAAGATTTTTATCTTATTATGCTGCTTTCCCAGAGCAAACCTACATACTTTCTTCTACTCTGCCCGATAAAGTTATCTGTTTTTTTCCTACCGTAATACCATGGCAGATGCGTTTTTCCAAGAACCAGCACTACGAAACTGTACTCATTATTACTAAATGTTACATTTTATTTTTACCACATGATTACAAGATGCCCGCGGCCCACGAGTTACATTACAGATGTTATTTTAAAGTAAATTATCCGTAGACCAGGTGATGCGATGTGGATATCGACTTAAGTAGAATATAATTGGCGGGCGGCGTGATGGACGCTCAAAGCGTGTACCTGCCAGTAAAAATGCCACCATAAAGGCGAGACGGCACAATGAGCCCTTTGACAGTTGGTACCTTTATGATGCCGACTATTGATATACAGCCCCAGTCTCATTAAAGTTATTTTATCGAGTCTGCGATACAACATCAACGCATCCTGATTATAAATCAAGGAATCTAAAGCGATCCAATGCCACCGCTCACGAACCGCCCGGAAAGAACAAACCATATAGTTAGATCATTCAAAATCTTTATGGCTTATTATTCAATCCCATTAAAGACTTAGCGGGACGGCCTTTATAAAAGCCCTTTTAATATAAAAGACCATTATACAGCCCATTTTCCATAACAATGAACATATTTTTTGTTTTGTTTTGTGTGATATCGTTAAATCTCGGGGCATTAAATTGTTATAGGCAGTAAAAAGAGTTCTGGGAATCATTACATAGCTATTTACAGTAGCATTAACTTCGGAGTATCTGCTTAGTACCTAATATATTTTAAAATAGGTCCAATAATGACGCTAGTCTAAATAAATAAAAGCTATCTTTCAATGAAGATGTGAATTTCTCTACTAGTAAGTCGCCAATTAATGCTTCCTGTTGTTATTCACAAGTAGTAGCCACTAATTACCTTCAAAAGATCGGTATTTATCTTATCCGATCATCTAGGACTTTCATAAACAATATCAAATCGCCAATCAGTCCGCGTAGAGGTAATTTATTGTGTTAGCGTTTTTACAGAAGCTCCGAAGCGGCTACCGAGATCCGCGCTCTACAAAAAATATAGCACGGTCATCAACGGTGATGACGACAACAGTACTATTACTGACATAATTATAATTACATTAAAAATCATATAATAAAAAAATAACAACACACTTTTAAGCTCTTTTGAGGAAAAACGTGATATAACATTGACCTGACATTGATTTAAAACTAATTTTCTAGTGTAAAGTTGGACTGTAGATTGTTTCATTTATAAAAAAATCCTGGGCAAAATATTAGAATTATGTAACAACAAACATTTAAATTAATCATCCTGGCTTCACTTTATAATACGTACTTATAAAATACCCCCGCAGACCGACTCGCGGCCTTTGATGACGACGAAAAAGCAGAGCTACTGGCCGATATATTGCAAACCCAGTGCACGCCTAGAACTCAATCCGCGGACCCAAGTAGGTAAGGGTATAGCCCCCTTGCCACCCTCGAGCGCGTTACCACCCGTCACCCCGATGGAAGTTAAAGACCTGATCGAAGACCTACCTCCTCGCAAGGCTCCCGGTGCGGACGGTATATCTAACCGTGTTATTAAACTTCTACCCAACATCTATGCGCTGTCCGAGGGCCGTATCCCTCGGACAATGGTTCCGTAAATGGCGCATAGACATCAACCCAGCGAAAAGCACAGCGGTGCTCTTTCAAAGGGGAAACTCAACCCGTATTTCCCCCCGCAATAGGAGAAATCTCACACCCTCACATCAATCATCACCCTCTTCGGCAAACCAATACCCTAGGCCAGAAAGGTCAAGTATCTGGAAGTCACCCTGAATGCATCGATGACATTCCGCCCGCACATAAAAACAGTCTGTGACCGCGCCGCGTTTATTCTCGGTCGACGTTATCCTATGATCTGTAAGCGGAGTAAAATATCCCTTCGGAACAAGGTGACATTACAAAACTTGCATAAGGCCCGACATGACTTACACAAGTATAGTGTTCGCTTACGCGGCCCGCACACACATATATACCCATCAATCCCTACCATGACCTGGGCCTTGAATCAATCCGGAAATACATGAAGTCAGCGTTGGAACGACACTTCGGTAAGGTTATGCGTCATGATAATCGCCTTACCGTTGCCGCCGCTGACTACTCCCCGAATCCTGATCACGCCGGAACCAATCACCGTCGACGCCCTAGACACGTCCTTACGGACCCATCAGATCCAATAACCTTTGCTTAGACACCTTCAGCTCTAACACTAGCAGCAGGCTTAGGGACCCCGGTAACCGTAGTCGTAGAACTCTACAAAGAGTTCGACGTGCAGCCTAAACCATGCATCAGCCCGCTAAGTTTCTCGCCGGATCTTCTCAGCGGGTCGCGATTCCGATCCGGTAGTAGATTCAATCGCAAAGCAGCTGCTCTTGAACTGTTAGGTTTTCTTTGGTGGCGCTCGGACAGCTGTTAGCAAATCTCACCCCTCCTGGCTGGGCCGTTGCTCACCCACCTTTTCTGGTGAAACTGGAAAGGCATCCTGTCCACTAGTAATCCTTCAATCATAACAATAAAACTTATAAATATCCAAATGTTGATGATAAAATATGTGTATTGTTACTTCCTCTTACTCTCTTCATCTTTCGAATATATTTTTAAATAAAATATGAAAAACCAGTAAATAACGATTGCTATTTTAAACTAAGAGTTTTTGTGATGAAACGCTTTTGTGCATAAATGTCTCGGTGTTTATAACCATCATAGGCTGACCAAAGTACGTCCGAGCAGACGTAATAGTGGCAACTGGCAAGCGACTCCCCGCGGCCCACAGCCTCCAAATCACAATAAATCTGAACCGATAAATAGTCGGGCGGATCGTCGGCGCGGCTTGATCAAAGAGAGGGACCAATATGAAAGGCGCCGCCATCCGACGAGATGTTACATTCAAGATAGAGCGTAATCAAGGTGGATCCAAAGGACGGGGCCCTATCTAGAACAAATCTAAATCAAACTAAATTAGTTAAGTGTTTTCTTTTTTTTTTAAAGAGAAATGTAGATCTTGTAACTCATAGGACAGTTTCAACTCGACGAAAATTACTTATTTTTAAATATTAAGTTAAAATACGAAACAATTGGGTACAGCACTTACCTTAGTATTGTGGTCAATATAATTATGTAATCAAACTCGAACCCGACAGGAAATTATATTTTTGTTCTTTGAAGAATTCTTTAATGAATAATGAATAATGATTGAGCCCCCCTTCCAAAACACTAGTTCAGCCCTGTTTCGCTGAATCGTTTTCATTCCAGCGCTGATCGTCACGTGTGATTGGCCTTTTGTCAAGTGACATTTTAATTAATCTGATTTTAATTTTGAATGACACGTTTACAAGAATCCTATAATATGATGAAGGTGAATCCGACGGGAGTGAGAACGACCCCGACACAATGCCTGTCATATGTCGTACCGAATATTAGCTGTTAAATTTATAATTAAATTCACAATTCGTTTTGTTTGGTTCCCAAAGGTCTTAGTATTTTAATAAACTAGTGGTTCCCGGTAGCCGAAATTCGACTATAATTAAGTAAAATTATAAGTTTGTACACAATTATGATTCAATTTCCAAGACTATTATACTTCTTTAATTACAAATTCTGCCAAGACTACACTTTAGACAAATATTCATAAAGACAAACCATATGTAAATACTAAATCTATTCTCAATTTGATCACATACTTTAAGCAATAAGAAAAGTTTGACAATAAACAAATAGTATGCATGCGTGTTTGTGTCAAATACACGATGGTGTGTGTAATGATTTTTTTTATTGATTTAATGCATTTTTTATGCATAATTTAAAAAAAACATAACATTCTACACTCCTTCTCTATATTCTCTATTTCTCTAATTCTAAAATTAAAGATAATATTTACTTAATTTAACAACCGCGATTTCAGACTGATGGTAACAAGCCGTGATGAGAAATATTTCAATCACAAGTAAACATCGCTTTTAAATACCAATTAAGTTGTTTTTGGCATCGGTAGTTAATTCTGTTAGTGCCTCTGACTGTTACGCGGAGCGTCGGGGGTTCGATTCTCACATAAAGCCTGTGGTGAACAGGTTTTTTTGTTGTGTTTTTGTTTATCTATATACATATGTGTGTATATATTATTATTATGAATGAAACGTAATGCAGTGTTCTAATTTGGGGCCGGATAACCTTGCGTGACTTGATTCCAGTTTTTTTTTCTTAATTCGCGTCACCGAAAATACTTTTACTCTACGAACACCTAGTACTGCTCGACAACTTGTACTAAAATTCCGCGTAAATTCTAATTAGAAGTTACAGTTGCCGAAAACTGTACGAAAATGATTTTACTTCATAAATGACACTTTTAAAGTGAGAAAATTTCCATAACAATATTTTTGAAAATTATACAGTATGGCTCTTCAAATAAACTGTAACCTGTTTACGTAACAGTGATCTTTTCGTGAAAAAATTTTACAACTCCTTTCGACATTTTAGTATTTCAAATTATAACATATACTTTACAAAATAACGATGCGCTTTTTTTAATCTATTTTTTTATTAACCCGGACTGCAGACTACTTCGGAACCCAAATAAACAGGACTCTGGTACTACCTGGAAAACTAGAAATAGAAAAAAATAGAGAGCCATATGCGACTCCCACAACTAAGGGGAATTTAATAATAACATAACAAATATACATATAATACAAGTAATACTATCTCAAAAGAATTGAACATTCAAACGTGTATGCCCATTACAGTAGGTGGATGAAAAATAACAGTCAGTCTGTTAGCGTGACGGAAAAAACGGTTCCCTTAATTACAGAAATTACGATGATTTAGCACTCCATCGATCACATTCAGTAGTCTATATTCTATACCAGTTGTTGGCAAACTGCGGCTCCTCGGCTACGCCTCTTCCGCGAAATGTTTAGTTCAGGCACGGAATATTATCTTGTTTCCGATCCGGTGGTAGATTCTGCGAAGCACTGCTCTTGCTAGGGCCAGTGTTAGCTCCACTCCCGTTTGAGCCCCGTGAGCTCACCTACACGTAAGGGCGAAGCTGATATAGCCTTTCAAGGCTATCAGCATAGGTAGGGAAAAAAACATTTTAGAAATACAAGGCAGTAAAATATTAAAAAAATAGTTCTCTCAATCAATTTCAATTGTGTATTATCTATATTTGGCTTTTTTGGTTGAGAAGGATGCAGAACACTGCTCTGTACTAATATTATAACAGTGTAAGTTTGTTTGTTTCTTCACCACACCAAAATCGGCGAACGGAATTTGAATGAAATTTCGTACGAAAACACTACCAAACCGGGTATTTCTGACGCGAAGCGAAGAAAAGTGGTCATTTTATCAGAAATAATGTCTAGAGCTAGGTTACCACATTCACGATACAATGTGCTGTGACGTCATTAGTTTTTATTTATTACTTAGATGGGTGGACGAGCTCCAGCCCACCTGGTGTTAAGTGGTTACTGGAGCCCATAGACATCTATAACGTAAATGCGCCACCCACCTTGAGATATAAGTTCTAAGGTCTCAGTATAGTTACAACGTCTACCCCACCCTTCAAACCGAAACGCATTACTGCTTCAAGGCAGAAATAGGCGGGGTGGTGGTACCTACCCGTGCGGACTCACAAGAGGTCCTACCACCAGTGATTACGCAAATTATAATTTTGCGGGTTTGATTTATATTACACGATATTATTCCTTCACCGTGGAAGTCAATCGTTAACATTTGTTAAGTACGTATTTCATCAGAAAATTTGGTACCCGCCTGCGGGATTCGAGCACCGGTGCATCGCTACATACGATTGCACCGGACGTCTTATCCTTTAGGCCACGACGACTTTAAACCACCTATCACCAGTTCGGAAACGACTTTACACTCGGTGATTTGAGAAGTCGTCCACACCTAAAGGTACTCGTATCTAACGATGCATCTAGGTCAGTGTTCAAATTCCGTAGACAGGTAATAATTTTTGTAATGGAATACATACTTAACACATGTCCACAAATGAGTTTCACGATGAAGGAAAAACATCGTGTTAGACGCCCAAATTTTATAATTTTCATAATTACTGAAGGTCGAACGTATGCGTATGCGTACAACTGGAACTTCAACCTAATGTATAGATAATACACATAATATTTAAGAAACTAATGTCTCAAAGTGGGAGATCGTGTTGTGGTTTCTAGGAGTCTTGGTATCCGCTGCTGAAAGTTAGTCTACCCTCTATAGTAATATAAAGATATTAATTATGTTGTATGTTGACAATCAGAGCAGGAAAAAAAAACAATAAATTAAAACTGAAATTTATTGCATTAAGAAAATTAAAAATTAATATCAATTTCATTCCCATTTCATTGCAAGGACGAATGAGTCATTATAAATTTGGATTTAAAAATAAATACGATAATAAACATCGGCAAGTAAATAAAACGGAATTTGGAAATTGAAAATAATTCTACGAAATATAAATAAGGCACGACTCTTTATCACAGACTCTTTAGCATCTATTTTTTTTTAAGTCCAATTTTTATATTAAATACACGCTATACTCATTTCAGCCAACATTCGTATTCGCTAACGATTATAAACATGGCAACCTATAAACAAAACCGTGTTATATTGTATGGATTTAATATCTTTAATATAAAACATTTGATAAGACATATGGATTATTTGTGGGGCGGATTACGAGCGAATTGGTACCAGGACTCTGTTTATTTGTGCTCCGAAGCAGTCTGCAATCCGGTTTAAGCGTTAGACACGCTATATCATACAATTGAGGCTTCGACCTCATCTCTCAAAAGTGGATGGCTGGATCCACGTTTTGATATCTTTAAATCAGTCATATAAGGATTAAAAAAAAAGTTGGAAAAAGTCTTCGCATTCTCTTTTTTAAGTTCATCTATATTTTACATCCAAAATCCTTTAATTCAGTTTCAACACACGACCGTATCGATAGGCTAACAATAAAGCACCATACATTTTGTGAAAATTTGAAAACTAAACGTTATGTACTTCTTCACTATTTCACAAACAATTAACTCGATTTCACTTAAAGAGATCTAAATAAATCTTTCTATTTTAATAAGCAACATTATTTAAGCTAAACTACATTATTGTCCATAAATACACACATCGCTTTATATAGCTTTTTGTTAATCCCAATCAGCTTTATCCCATACAAATGAGATTCAAATGTGATTTGATACAAATATATTAAGTAAAGGAAACGCTTCTGAAGACAAAAATGGCAGTATGTCTGAACATTTGTGATAGATATCATCATCATGAGTCTACAAACACCGTCTGCTGGATATAGCCCCTTCTAAGAGTATCCCCAGTGCCAGTCCTGTGCTACCATCATTCCGGGTATTCAATTGGACGTCGATCCGCCATGCAATCTAACAACCCACGGTATAAACAGTTTCAACGATTTGATATTTTAAAGCGCGCCATGTAAAGCGTACAAAACACGGTAATCGAAAACCCGAAATTTTATTTGAAACATTTGCTACAAATTCTTTTTTATATTAACCAACGACTACTCCTGGCATTAAGGCGAAGCCTATAAAGATCGATGTAAGCGTAGGTAGCTACCGAGATTAAAAACGAGTTAGAAGTCTAGTAGGAATCAGTAAGGTCGAATATCAGCGAATAAACGCAGTCTTCACTTTGATACGCTTTACAATGCGCGCTAAAAATAGTTAATTGTTTCGTCTTCGGCAGCGTTCCCGGACTCTCAGATTTACATCCGAAACATGAGGTTTATGAAAGAGTATTATTAATAGGCAATTCAATTATATTACAATACACTTAATCTTAAGCATTAAAATTTCGTTTAATTTTATGATTATTTAACGTGTTTTTTTCTTTTTTTATGACAATATTTATTATAAACTCTGCTGTATAGATTTACATAAAAAATATATAGTTTCCACGGTGTTATTCATATTCACAATAGTTACAGGGCTGTGACCATTTTCTATATCGATCTACCACTCGCAAGTGCGGGGCTCTGACTAAGTTACACACAACTAATATTTATGACAGAAACGAGTACTATTAACCTAAGGAAAAGAATTGCTTGCTCGGCATTTTCTGTCTTTGTTTTTTGATGAAATCCCGAGCTTGCCTGTCTCCCTGTCGTGAGTCCAAAGCCTTGATCGCATCGCCATCTGTAAATAAATAGTGCACTATAAAAAACCATACGACACCAGTCATTTCAATTATAAGGAAATTACGATCAAAAATATCACTAAAGTATTATGGATTAATGAAGGTAGTAGGTACCGTATTCATTAATTAGTAGTAGTAGTTTTATTTTCCAACTTGAAAGGCAAAGGCATCATACATCATACAGCCTAATCTTTTATATATTTTTTATATATAACAATGATAATATGAACAATGATATTATGAAATGAAATGAGATGGGATGATATGGGATGAAATATAATCTCAGTAAAATGGTGGTCATTTACTGAGACTTTTTCAATGGACTTTTTGGAGGACCCCCAGAAGTTACGTTCAGCGGCTTCGTTTTACCTTCCCACATTTGTGCACTTCCACAGGTACTGAGCAGTTAACAAACCACCGTTATTATACATTTAAACCTGAAGATACACTAAATATACGAAATAATTATATCTGTAGGTTCCGTTAGCCACTTAACACTTTTTTTGTTATTACTTAGATAATAGTTTACGGCCTGTCTGGTGTTAAGTGGTTACCGGAACCCATAGACGTCTACAAAATAAATGCCGCTAACTTGAAACATGAATTCTAAGTCCCGTTTTTACGGTAAAACGGCTACCTCACTCTTCAAGCCGAAACGCATAACTACTACGCGGTAGAAGTAGACAAGGCCGTAGTTCCTACCCGTGCGAGCTCACAAGACGTCCTACCACCAGTAAATACACGATTTAATGTTGCCGTAATAGGCAGAAGCGCATACGGTCAACCGATAGAGATTTGAGAGAGAGTGAGAGGGGGGGGGGGGGAGAGATATAGAGGGAGAGAGAGAGAGAGAGAGAGGGAGAGAAAGATAAGAGGGAGAGAGAGAGAGAGTATTCTTTAATTTACACAAAAAAAAAAGAATTCTGTTCTTACCGACTGTGTTAGGTTTGGATAAAGGCAGATGTTGTTGCGGCAGGCTTCCGATGGGCGCGGGCGTGTCCGGTATCTCGCTGAAGTGTAGATACGCCTCCCCCACAAACGTGTTGCTCACACTGAACATATCCTTGTCCTTGACAACGAAATGCAACAGTCCGTCGGCGATGCCACGCTGCTCCGGACTCAGAGGACTGNTTCTGTTCTTACCGACTGTGTTAGGTTTGGATAAAGGCAGATGTTGTTGCGGCAGGCTTCCGATGGGCGCGGGCGTGTCCGGTATCTCGCTGAAGTGTAGATACGCCTCCCCCACAAACGTGTTGCTCACACTGAACATATCCTTGTCCTTGACAACGAAATGCAACAGTCCGTCGGCGATGCCACGCTGCTCCGGACTCAGAGGACTGGAATGGATTTTTTCGCGACAAATCAATAACGAATTGCTTTTTATTTAAGTGCTCAGAGGAAACAGAAATGAATTAGAAAAATATATATAGCTGCCAAAATATTAATCAAGTTTGTGGACAAAATTGACATTGACGACTAGTTCAAAATTAATGAAACATAATGTTAATTTACTAAACTAGCTATACATGTATATCGTAGTTAACCGGTTTTAGCATTTCATAGAATTGAATAAAATCAGTATTACAGTTTACGACTTTATCGGAGAGTATTCGAAAGGTCGAAAATGATCGTATGAATAGTTTAATTTTAAAACCACACGCACGTAATATACAACGTGTATCATGTGCACGCAATGTAACGCAAATTCGGCTCCCGCGAACCTTCGAGGCCGTTGACCCAATGCGTAATTACTTACATGAGAAACATTTCGTCGTACAACGGGAACAGATTTTTACTGTGCGTCTGCGTTTTTGGTTTTACAACATTCGCGAATGAATCTTCTGGTAGCAGCGCCACACGCACATACGAATCACACAACCCTGAAATTTTACGCCATATTTTTAATAATCATTACAAGCATAGGGATAAGCACACTTCAAAATTAGGTCCGATTTTTTTTCCTACAACTCTTTTGATATTTTGAATATAATCATCATTATATTTTTAAGTCCAACCGTCTTCTCTTCTTAATTATATGCTACTAGAGAAATATGCTTGCCCTTTCGTGTCATTACTATTAAATTATTGTTAAAATACACATATTTATTGTAACCACTCACACACACGCCACCTATCGTAAGTTTATGGTGGTATGCCACAAACACTCATAATTAGGTGTATATTTAATTTAATATTATATAGAATTAATTCAAATGTAAAAGACACTCACCATTCGAATCAGTGGCCACAAGGTTTCTAGCGTTCATGACTTCGATTTTCAAATTGTCATCGATGAACTGAGCTCGGACTGTCAAAATACCCATTTTCGGTTCAACAATAGACTGTTGTTCTTGCCACCTCCCAAGGTGATACTCGTGAATTAGCTCCCTCGTTTCCATACCGTGTAATTTAAGTAAATACTCCACGCGTTTCAGGGTATCCGAGGAGTACATCTCTTTGTTGTCTTGACGGAAAGATCGTATCATTATCTTCAAACATTCGTGGAGATTCGAAAAGAAAGATGGCGGACGACGTTTCTGCAAAATCGCATTTCACATAAATGCTTTCGAAATACGCTATGCATTTCAACACTTCTAAATATTTGTATTTTTCTATACGTTTTAACAGGGTTTTAAACGACTAATGAAAGTAACTATTTTGGTGGTAATGAAGACTTTTTAAACCTTGTTGAAAAATAATTACGAACTATTAAGGATTTATTGAACTGGTTAAAAAAAGATTTGAATCGATCTATTTCAAATAAAGAAATTAAAACAAATTTTGGAAATGATGAGACACACAATTAATTATAAAACTTCATTTGACATCAAGTATCGATAATGTTAGCCACCACCATGCAGTATAATTATACTGAGTGCATATTAAATGTCATTTTAATGTAATGTCTTACATACTTTTAAAGTATGGCAAAAATTCAGATAGCATGCAATGATCGACATTATAAAATTAGTGATGGTATTTTGTCTAAATAAAAAATGTACTGCTCGCATTTTATTACAATATTTGCGTCAGCGAGGTAGCTAGAAAAAAGTTGCATACATATCATCCATCCAGCATCCATCGTATTTCACTTAAGATTTTATAATTACATATTTTTGTTCGATCTTTAACATTCTCGGGGTACACCACAATACACGGTACAATGAAGAAGGTATTGCACATGCCACAACAAGGAACAACGTACTAGATAAGCCATATTCTTGTATATATTCTTGGACAAGCCATTGACACAATAGGTAAATACTATACAATTAACTGAGTTCATACATAATTTTCAATGGATACTTGTAAATTGACAAATAACCAAAAAAAGGTAAAGTAACAGCAATCCCCACTATAATGCGGTAATCTAATAACACGATTTCATTTCTCTCATATATATCACAATGTTTTTTTCCGTAAAACAAGAGTTTTTTTAGCAAATTTCTGTGTGCATTTAAAATATTCTTAATTTGATTTTAATAAACGCACATATTTTGTTTATAACATAGTTTTCGTTAATATTCGATTTTAAACCCCGTTTATCGATAAAAGTTAAACGTGAATCATTGGAACGTAATTAAAATTTAATATATTAAATCATACGGGCTTATTATACACAAATACTCCCGCAACGCGTTTTACACAACGCGGAACCAATCCACCGTGTTATACGGGGGATTACTGTAGTTTAAATAATGCTTACTTAAGCAATCAATTATTGTCGAGTTACAAGAACCACAGCATTTTCTCTGCCTTCACATAAATTGCGTGTTTATTACTTTATAATATTTCTCAGTCACAGCATAACTAGCAATGTAAACAAAACTATGCGAAACAATCACGGAAACAGGACATAAAAGTGCTCTTAAAATATAAAAATTACCGCGTCTAACTGGGCGGCTGCCGATTTGCTCAAGCGTCTCGGGTCGATAAATCGAGTTATCTTTGCCCTTCGGTGCTAACAAACAATAGTAAATGTTAAAAACGTGCTTTTAAACTATTAAAAAAAATTGTGATGTATAAATCATATTCTAAGAACCAAAACTTGTACTTGTATTGATTTAACATTCTCTTTATTGAAGGCAAGCTATATCTATTTAAGTTTCTTTTAAGGAGAATTTATTTTAGTTTAGTATTTGTGCGTTGAAACAAATTAAAATATCTCAATAGCGTGCATAACAAATGCAACATTATTTACCCGAAATAATACATAATTTGGGGATATTCTGTTTTTTCCAAAATATCTACGCCTAATCAAGCTGATACGAGTGAAGATTTTTTCTTTCTACAAATCAAAATTAGTACTATGTTAGTACCGTTCGATAATGGATGAGATTATGCGATATTGGGACAATTAGAATGAAATAATTAAACGAAATTTAATTGATATTAAATAATGTGTGAGTTAAATAAGTTGTTATGAACAATTTTGAAATTGAAGCTGTATGAAAATATATTAATAAAAAATTAGTAAAAAGTACAACGAAACTTAAAGGAACTACCCACTTCTAAGTTAGCTTGTATCAATTCATACAAGACTTCTCCGAGTTGTTCCCAAACGATATCTAGAGTTCTAGAAAAGTTTTCGTTGTTCAAATGCTGGTACAATGTATCGAGATTCGCCTCTAGGTATCGCATAACGCGATCCATGCTTGAACAGTCTTGATGTAGTAGTTCGGCACCTTCCACTAAGAACCGGGTAATGGATGGCATCATCTGAAATTATCAAATTTCTAATCACTAATTCAGATCAGTATCCCAAATATTTATGCGTAGGTACTTTCAACAAGTACCCAATATCTATATTTAGAAAACATGAAAAGTAATCAGGCAGAGAACATTTCTATACAGTGCATTTTTTTAATTACATTAATAATGCAATTCAATTTCACGAAACTCACCTTTTTGATCATGACCTCTAAGAGATCGACGATTTTGTTTTTAACTGTGTCTATTGCATTGGCAATAACGTTTTGTAGAGTCTCTTTACATCTGAAAATAAATTAGATATTTTTATAGTCAATTTTTATTAACTTTAAAACACTTAGTACTGTTTTCTACAAAATTCTTGTTTAGAGAGATCAAGTTAGAACCTTTGTGAATAGTAGACAAGCACTGGTTATGGAATTTTGCTCAATGCTTTCCCGATAGCATTTAGCTTTAAGATTAGTCATTGGATTTTTGTGTTAAAATTATATGTCGATTTTGTGACCCATTGTTTCTACCGCTGCAATTTCGATATAAAATTTGGGAAATTTGTTAATTTTTTCTGCAGTTTTGCGACAACTAGCAAACATACGGAAAAAAAGGATGGCCAGTCTTTCTAATTTATCATTGAAAATATATTCTAAGATTTTATTTTTTACATAGTTATCAAATATAGGTATTTTTACATGAGTAAGTTTACTTATGTGTCTCTGTTTTTCACATAAGTATTTTAGTCTGGACTTAAGTTGTCCCTTCATGGTACTGTTATGAAGTTCAAGGAATGAGAATAAACAAAACGCTTTGAAGAAAGCTAACGAGTGACTCGTCTCGATAAACTCATACGAGCCAAGATCAACCCTTGAGGACAGAGCATGGTAAAGCAGACCAGTTTACAAAATACGACAACCCACCTGAAGACATGAATGTAGTTGAAATCTGAATTATAAACCAAGAAACACTTTACGAGTATAAGCTTTCTTTATCTATACTAATATTATAAAGAGGAAAGATTTGTTTGTTTGTTTGTTTCGAATAGGCTCCGAAACTACTGGAACGATTTGAAAAATTCTTTTTCCATTAGAAGCCGACATTGTCCCTGATGAACATAGGCTACTTTTTTTAAATTTTTTTTTATTTTTTTTTTTTGATTTCTTGTGTTTTAATGTTTCCGAAGCGAAGCGAGGGCGGGTCGCTAGTTGTCTAATATATTTGTAATTACATAGTAATATGTAATATATTTTTGATGCAAATTTTATTATAATGTAGTGTAATGTATTATTAAAAATGATAATGACCGACTGACTCAGTGGTGTATTACTTAGTGCCCCTGACTGTTACTGACCGACGCCTAGGGCCGTTCGCTTCCCACATCGGGTAGACATTCGCGTGATGAACCGATTTGTTTGCTCTATATCTAGGTGTTTATTATCTATATAATGATGTATATATTTAATCGTATATAAATACTATATCAGCCTCTGGTAACTCATAACACAGAGAATCTTAATATGAGGCTAGATGACCATGTGTGATTAGTTCCCAGTTATTATTAATATAATGTAATCATAACAAGTTATCGTTTCCGATCCGGTGGTAGATTCTGCGAAGCACTGCTCTTGCTAGGGTCAGTGTTAGCAACACTCCAGTTTGAGCCCCGTGAGCTCACCTACACACGTTAAGGCGAAGCTGAAATAGCCTCTCAAGGCTATCAGAATAGGTAGGAAAAAAAATTTTTTTTTCGTAAATACTGTTACACAGATAAGAGCAACGCCATCTGTCGTCGAATGGCAGAAACGAATATAAAAAAACTAGTAGAATCGAGAACGCTTGAGAAGTACAACGCCATCTATTTTCAAATGGCGGAAACACATATTGAAAATACTCGACTAGTGAGGAATGTCCTCTAGGGAATTCTAGGGAAGTCGTATCGACTATAAAAACATTTTAGGGATGTCACGAAGGCAGAAACAGCGAAAGGACCACCTGAAGTGAATTACGAAGTGTAAAGTATTCTGTGAGTGTTTTAGGTGTTTAATAGAATTTTAATTAGTACTTTGGTGGAACTTTTATTTATCCCGAAACCCAGCGCGTAACATTACCTTTGAGCTTCAATTGGCGATCTAGCTTCGCACATCTTCTGTATGATATCGTCCATACCCAGCTCCTCGACGAATGGCTCCAAGCTTTGCCTAACGTAATCTATGTTGTTGATGGCAACACACCATTCTGTTGTAACCTCGAATCTCTCTTCATACACAGTAGTCACAGTCCCGACGCTGTCCACTCTATTCGCCATTTTATCCGAATAAAATACGCAACAACGACAAATATCCTAAAATTCAACCAATTTGTAATGATGATACTTATATGCATTAATGTCTTGTTTACGAGATAGATTAAAGTATATTCAAATCTGAATACCGAATCTAAAATGAAAAATAGATGAATAGACGTTGTATTAAAAAAAAATTAACCTTACAACATTTTATATAAATGCAAAACTCAACTGAATTCCATCAGCTCATCGCAACTCAAATTACCAGTTTAACTTGAGCCCACACTGGTAGATATCAACACACTGCTTATTTCTACCGCGAACCAATTACTGCGTCTCCGTTTTCAAGGGTGGGGTAGGCATTTTGTCATCAAGGTGGATGACGGCACTAACGTTGTTGATATCTATGGGTTCTGGTTTATTGGGGTAATTATGGTGTAAGTTCACCAGTAAACCTTACAAAACTAGGACGAACTTTACATGAAAACAAACGCCGACCCAATCGATGTCTATCGATTATTCGATATAATCGATTATCTATACTCGAACACATAAAGATAATACACATAATACTTTATCCCATCACAGTTGTGAAAAAAATAATTAAAATTGTCAGATTTTATTTATACATAAATAATAAAATCATAAAGACCGTCGTAAAATAATAAAATCATATAATTAGTATGCCTCAAAACTACTTTTCATATTGTTTTCCTATTTGTTCTGAATTGCCAATTATTGAAATTATCACTGACCAATCATTATTACTAAAATATCGTTATTGAGACCCTTACTTTATATATTCAATAAATTAACTGAAAATTAATTAATCGTACTCACGTCAATAATCTTAGCGACGAACGTGTAACAACCTTCAACATCGGGCCACGCTAATTGTTGCCAGAATATTTTAATCTGATAAAATATAGCGAGAGTGTCGACTCCGGAACTGCTGTACTTCACGTTAGTGTCGACCGGAACTAAATTGTCTAAGTCGACTGCCTTTTCTATACGTGTTAGAGCTTTGAAAGCCGCGATGTCCAGCCACTGGGCGACACCGCCGAAAAACCACCCGTGGAATTTAGATATCGCATAGGAACTCCATTCAGTCTCATTCAAGCCCTGGCCTAACCTGAAAATAGTAGCCTTTTTATTTATTCCATACTAGAAACCCACCCTCTCTTCGCTTCGGGAACTGTAATTTATTATTGATATTATTGAATATTTATTCCTTTATACAAATCTGGTCCTGACAGTAACAGACACAATAAAAAAGAACGTAACAAACAAAAAATCTAATCAAATCTTTCCTCCACTTATATTAATTCACCATTTTGGCGATAATGGCTTACAAATAAAAGATAGATATATGCTGTCACGGGGTTTTTTGTAGAACTATTTCAGATAAACATTTCCATTTTACATTGTTTGCGTGTAACTCCAACGGTTTTTGCGGCGTAAGACATAACATCTCGCAGATGGCAGATTTTTTCCTTTTTACATGACACTTATCGTTATATTTTGGGTAATTCACACTATATTTTTATAAATTATAGCCTATATGTTATTTCGATGTGTAAAGCTTAGTGTTATATTTATTTATATCGAATAAGTATGGATTTCAAAAAGTAATACAATTTTATTATAAAATGTTTACATCTATAATAAAACTAATTTGTTGTCCAAAAGTAACCCTCACGTCCGTCATGTCGCAGCGAGAGTGCGAGCTTAGACAGATCTACGAATATGGTTATATGGTCCACGTAAATGATACTAAATAAATAGGTTTTAGTATGTTAAAGTAAATTCTGTGCAGATTATTCTCAGTGACGAGACTGCATACTCGGTTTAACAAAATAGCTATTTGATTGAACCGTTCCACCTCAGTAAGCCTATAGTTCATTCTAAATTTGATATTCCCCTTTCACCCCTCAGTGATAGGAGAGTGCACGCCGCGTCCTATTATACTATTTATGGAACCTGAATAGACTACCAGAAATCATTATAGTGTACTTACAGCAAAAACCTCTGTAAAGCCAAATATAGCTCAAACAGTGTGGTCCCCATAGACAAAGGCTCATTGGCCACTTCCGGAGCACCCAGTCCTGTAACTCCGGCAATGCCTCCAGCCAAATGAACGGTTGTAGTGGAACCCTCGTTATATTGGAGCCTCTTAAGGCATTTGCACACTTCTATAACCTCAGGTTCGACCAACGAGGCTATCTTGCTCTCGTACAGACCATAGAGGGCCTTCGTGTATGGAAAACTCATAACCCTGGAATTGAAATTAATATTTTAATATGACTTTTTTTACTAGCGTAGCTGTTACGACAGGGATGGTGCTACTCAAGACATAGGAATTGGAAATTTCAGTTGCCTAGACCCCATGATTATTTCGAGGCTGAAATATGCAGTATAGTAGGTACCCATATGAGCTTAACATGCCTCATTACCTGTAAACCTCAAAATCTGACCCGTTTTAAAAGAATACTTTAAGCTTTATAACAGCCCTAGTGCTATGGTTCATAGAGGTGTACGGTGCGGGGGGGCGGGGACAGTCGACGCGGCAGGTACGTCACAACCCAAAAAAGATTATTTCAACAAAACCTTCATAGCAAGAGACAATTATACTTACTAAGTCAATAGTCATAATGTAAAGCTATGAAAAAATCATTCCTTGAAAAACATATTACTGACTACCAATGGGTTACACCTTCATAAATCTATTAATATTATTTAATCGCTCAAAGGAGTTGTCACATCGAGCGAAGCCTCTCGCGTCCTAGTTGAAATGGTTAAGAATGTAAGAAGAAACTTACTCTATGAAAACTCTGTCGTAATATTCCACAGCTCTTTGCAAATCGGACCTCACGAGCTGGATGACCCTGATCAAATGCTGCAGACGCGATTCTTCAGTGTTATCCTTGCATTCATTATTGTCTAATATATGAACGAACCAGTCGGAGGCGCCCTGTATCACTGCTTGATTCAATACTTCGTACACGTTAAGTTTCCCAGCGTCATCTCTCAGCCAACCATAAGAAGTCTTAGGGAACAAATCTATACACTCCGGAACATCCAATATAGATAGTTTGTACAGTATTTTAAGGACTTCTCTAAGAGTTTTCATTACGGTTTTATCACCGGCTGTCTTCTTTCTTAATTTTCTAATGTGACTATAACACGTGGGTAGTAATTTTCTTGCGCCATCCCAGAACAACTTGACATCCTCTTCTATAATGAGACCTAATTGGAAGAACATTTTGTAGGATTGGTAAAAATTAATTGTTTTTTGATGAAATTTCGGCATGAATGGCAACCTCAATGGAACTAACTATTATATATTTTACATTATATCAAGAAACCTTGCTTATAGGAGTACAAAATTATTTCCGAGAACTATGGTGTAACTATTCAGATGTTAAGATCAATCGTTTATTTTATTTTATATAAGTAGAGTGTTGTGGCATGAAATCGAACGTTATTATTTAATAAACCGACTTGTGGGTTCACGGTTTATCTATTAATCCAATAAACTACCATGACATGGGGTAAATTGGGATCCTGGGGTAAATTGGGACAAACCTGCGGAAGATTCTCAAAGTACCTGTAGCACGGAATCTACCTAATTTTGTTTATGTTAATATTTATCAATGTATAGAAGAAAAACCAAGTTAACTATGGAAGTACTAAACATGAGTTAAGTTGGTCCCAAAAATTCGTCAAATTAAATTGAAAATAGTGGTTGAAAAGTGCATTTTAAAACAGCTTAAAGAACTTTTAGAAAAAGTAATATTATCGTTGTTTTTTCAATAAGATCACAGTTTATATAAGTTTTTAATACACCTGGAAATACCACAACAAACGGTAAGTTGCAATACTCTTATTTTAAATACAATATTTCGACAAAATAAAAAATGTATATTTTTTCCTTTCTTTTTGGGGAAAATTGGGACGTATGTGGGGTAATTTGGAACGAGAATGGAAAAATTAGGGACGAGAAAACACAAAATTGGAACGCCAAAAGACAAAATAGGGATGGCTTGTTAGGGTTGTTACTGATATCTTATAATATATTTTTTAGCCTATACTATCACTCAATTGCGTGATGTAAAGAAGGTTAATGTGTTTATCAGTTAGTTTATGTAAGTACTATAGGTAACAGAAAAGTATATATATAATTACATTTTTTCGCGACATTTACCTTGTAATATCTGCCCGGTCGTATGTCCTTTATAGCAATAAAATAAAATTAAAAATTAAAAAGAACTCAAACGAATCAAAACTTTCGTTATTTCAGAATCTATTCACGCGTCGAATCATGATTTTTTTAACATTCACAACGCACAGACAAATAAAAACAGGCCTCAGATTTTAAATGTAACATTAATTAAAAATCCGAGATATCTAGGTTCCAATTATGAGTGAGTGAATTAATTGAGTTTAGTTATTTAGCTTAGAAAGAATTTCTTTTATTTTTGTTATTATAGGCAGTAATCAGATAAATCTGCTTTTTTATCTTATTCACCTGATATCTTACTCTTGCTCAAAGATTATTTTGAAAATGTTGATTAAATAAAATTATATTATTGCATTTCCAGTCCTTTTGTTTTCTATTTTTTATTCTATTTTATGATTTTGTTTCAGAGTTGTGATTTTTAAGGAAATTAAATAATAATTTTCTAAAAAATAACATGCACATACTTTTTTCGATCATTGTATTGTTGATTATCATTTACGTCACATCGCTTCGGAATAGAAACCAGCTTAATTTACACTATGTTGTGTATTGTGCTTAAATTACGGATTGTATTCATCATTTCGGTCCATATAAATAATTGTATGGCACCTACCTACCTACCTATATATCGCAGTACCGCGAAGTGACAACCCTTACAAATATCCCAATTTAACCCTTATCCGTGTCAATTTACCCCGAATGCGGGGTAAATTGGGATGGCCATTATTTTTCCGATTATTTCTTTAAATTGAATAATTAAAATGATGTAACGGTTTTTATCACCTAGGTACGTTCAAGACTCAACTTATTTCTTTGGTTGAGCAGTGACTATTTAATTGGAACTATTTTAAAATTCAATCTGAAGTTCGATTTTGTCCCTATTTACCCCATTTTACGGTACCATCGCCGACTATTTTATTTAACTTGGCAACTTTCCTTTACGTCACAAACATCATTTGATTTTGGAAAACGACTAGACAATCGACTTTTTACTTTTCCGTAGGCTCTAAGCAGTTTCATTTCGATGCAGAGACGGTCGATATAGCGAATACTTTAATTATGTTGGTGGAAGACCTTACCTGTTTAGGCGAAAACATGTTTTTATTTTGTTACCTACTTGATTGCAATGGCTTTGTTAGTTTATCCAGAAGCGTGTTGAAGAGGTTGAAGCTTAAGGGATGGTCGGGTGTGACGGCGCAGTAGACGGACCACTGCACGAGGCTGTTGTCGAGCTGCGAGAGGCCGCTCTGCGCCACGTGCTGAGTGAGGATCGCTTCGGCTGGAGCGCTGAAGTTTCCACACCACCAATACGGGGCCACCTGATTTAGATGCATATTTTTGGTCGATCTGAATGATTGTAAGGCATATGATGGTTTCTTTTTTTATTGACATCCCAACCGAGACCAACTGATGATAGGAAGACTCGTGAGTCCACAAGGGTAGGCACCAACATCCAGCCTATTTCTGCTGTGAAGCAGTAATGTGTGGAATGAGGAATGGAATGAGCTCCCCTCCACGGTGTTTCCCGAGCGCTATGACATGTACTTCTTCAAACGAGGCTTGTGGAGAGTATTAAACGGTAGGCAGCGGCTTGGCTCTGCCCCTGGCATTGCTGACGTCTATGAGCGACGGTAACCACTCACCATCNGGTAGGCACTAACATCCAGCCTATTTCTGCTGTGAAGCAGTAATGTGTGGAATGAGGAATGGAATGAGCTCCCCTCCACGGTGTTTCCCGAGCGCTATGACATGTACTTCTTCAAACGAGGCTTGTGGAGAGTATTAAACGGTAGGCAGCGGCTTGGCTCTGCCCCTGGCATTGCTGACGTCTATGAGCGACGGTAACCACTCACCATCAGGTGGGCCGTATGCTCGTCTGCCTATACGGCAATAAAAAAAAGGTTTTAGTTTGAAGGGCGTGTTGGTCGTTGTATTGTATATACTGAGACCTTAGAACTCATGTGTCAGGGTGAGTGGCAGCATTTTCATTGTCGATGCCTATGGGCTCCGGTAATTATTTAGAACCAGGTGGGCTGTGAGCTCGTCCACCCATCTAAGAAAAATAAAACTATAATTAAGTGTGTTTTTTAGCTGCTGGCTCTTTTCAGAATAAGGCCTAAAGGATAAGATACCGTTTCTACCAAACAACCATTAAAAAAACCAAAAAAGTTCGTACTCCAGACAAAATTGAAATATACACAAAACTATGTTTACGAAACCGCATACCGCATAAAGATCAAAAGCAAAGAAACCAGACCAAAGATGACGTACCAGGGTATGGCTACGTAGATAAAAAAAATCTTAAACATCGGCGCCACAGAGTGACGAAAACTCGAGCGTTTTATTACTGCTATTACATATTTATTCGTTTATTATATTACTGACAGTTTAAAATACTATTCATGTGTTTAAAATTAAAAATGACCAGTAGATGGTCACGATTATGCGTGACGTATGATATTTTGATTTATATGTTGACACAACCAGGTCATGACCTCCGGGGCTCAATGCAGTAACTTGTTACAATAAAATCAGGTGCAGTAAAAATATTACCAACGAACGAATGAAGGTGAGAAGACGTATTCTTCTATATAGCAAAAATGTTTATTTGGAAACTAAAAAAAAAAGCGTCTGTCTGTGATTTTATTTACAAACCAGACTGCGTCAAGTTCGTATCGTTTTTAAACAAGCAGGTATATACATGTACAAACTAACGAGATCCGAAATATTAAACATAATCTTATAATTATCTGTGCTTCCATTAAATAAATAAATAAATATTTACTAACAGTCACGCCACGTTAATTGGTCCCGTGATAAGTTCGTAAAGAACTTGTGTTACAGGTACCAGATAACGGATATAAATGTAAGATTTTTATTATACACATACACATATTTAATATACATCCATAACCCTGGAAAAGACACTTATATTTATCATACAAATATCTTCCCTTGGCGGGATTCGAACCCGCGCCCTCCTTGTGTAGTGACCATGTCACTTACCACTACACCAGACGGCCGTATAAATGACAGATTGTTTCATCTCCTTTCTGGTATAGAAATATTTGTANATGTAAGATTTTTATTATACACATACACATATTTAATATACATCCATAACCCTGGAAAAGACACTTATATTTATCATACAAATATCTTCCCTTGGCGGGATTCGAACCCGCGCCCTCCTTGTGTAGTGACCATGTCACTTACCACTACACCAGACGGCCGTATAAATGACAGATTGTTTCATCTCCTTTCTGGTATAGAAATATTTGTAATTAAATCACCGCACGTTATACATTGCGCTATAATTCAAACTTACATCTTAAGTTTGTCCCACGCAAAGAGCATTCTCATCGGAAATTTTCCTACCTTCGAATTTTCAAGTTCGTGCAACAGAACGATCCTTAACAAATGCCGATGTTCCTGTGCCGCCACTTGATTATTCTTTTCCGAGGAAAAGTTGAGTCGCACTTTGACGACGCCCTGACGACGCAGCTTACTCTTCTTGCTCAAACTGAACCACATGGCCATACCGCCGGCTGGAATGGACTGTAAAAATACAAATGTATTAAGATCTATCTATTCTATATATAAATATTCTTTGAAATATAATCAAAACAGTTGTCGTCCGATCGTCTGTGAGTAGTCGTTATCATGTTTTTTCAATTAGAACGGATCACTTAATTTTAGACGGTCACACACAACGTAGTGATATTTTCAAAAATAATTCAAACAATGACATGTCAAGCGCTCAATAACCAGCTTGCGAGCTCGAAAAATTTCATCAAAATCAGGTCAGTAGTTTTTGAGTGACGCTCAAACAAACAAACAGACAGATAAATCGGTGGTCGAGGGTCAAGTCAACCAAAACATAATATTATAATCTTTGTACATATTGTCATCATACAGATATACTTCCGTCACAGTTATAATACATAAACTCATTAACTTCCTTGTTTATATATTTCATATTTACAACACACCCTCAACACACACATTTACACACAACAAATAGGCCACATCTGTAGTAGCTTATTTATGTTAAGTTTACATATGTCCGTATCTCTTCTATTACGACGACAGAGCATCTTAACCATTAATAATGTTTTTAAAATACATTTTGTCCATTGAGAACATTCTAAGGACACGGAACTGTGGGACTTTAATAACACGCCTTTAACTCATGCGGGCTTAACATAGAATAAAAGGTTGGTGTTATACTTCAGGGGAATCGCATTTATTAACTAAATTTTCGTTGTTTGTAATTGACAAAACAATATTTGCCAAATATTTGAAGTCGTCGTGGCTTAAGCGATAAGACATCCGGTGCATTCGTGTTGAAGCGATGCACCGGTGTTCGAATCTCAGGCGGGTACCAATTTTTCTAATGAAATACGTACTCAACAAATGTTCACGATTGACTTCCACGGTGAAGGAATAACATCGTGTAATAAAAATCAAACCCGCAAAATTATAATTTGCGTAATTACGGGTGGTAGGACCTCTTGTGAGTCCGCGCGGATGTTGCGCGTTGTAACTATACTGAGACCCTTAGAACTTATATCTCAAGGTGGGTGGTGCATTTACGTTGTAGATGTCTATGGGCTCCAGTAAACACTTAACACCAGGTGGGCTGTGAGCTCGTCCACCCATCTAAGCAATAAAAAAAATTAATAATAATAATTAGAAACGTTATTTATTAATCGTAATTTAGATTTTTCGTATAAATTAATACTTTTATGTAACTTTAATATATGAGTAATATGTGTACAAAGAAACACCAGGTAGATGCGAAGAACGGTGTAGGTAATAAGATTTTTTTCACATCAATAACTAACTGGAAATTTGGTTTCAAAGCAAATACGGCTAGTATTGAAGTCAGACATCGCTTAGGCCTTTACGATTACGAAAAACGTGAAGGTCATAAATTGTCGTGAAATTATGAAGGTCTTAAACAAATCACAAAAAAAATCCTACCTAAGCCTTGAGAGGCTATATCAGTGCAATCGGGCGAGTAGGTGAGCTCGGGCTCAAATCTGACGTTGTTGCTAACACGAACCCTAGCAAGAGCCGTGCTTCGTAGAATCTACCACCGGATCGGAAACAAGATAGTAACGAAAAAAAAAAAAGAAAACACATACTTAGAAAACATAAAATTTACTAAATAATTTGAATTTCCGGTAACTGAATACACAATATTATACGATCCAGTGACATCACGAAGTAAGTACACGGTGAATTTTTAAAGATATTATATTAAAAGCGTCATACTACTCTGCTCTCTCATTGATGGTCTACATTTAAATGCTCTATGTACGGTACCGTGACTAAACCACTTCTTTTAAACATAATAAATAATCAGGTTTATTTTAAGCGATGAAGGTGAATACACCCGTAGGTAGAGAATATTTTTATTACTTACACAGTGTATTATCTGTCTATAATGAACGAATATTTTTTTCAAAAACTTCATACTCTAATTGAGACTTGTGAGAGCAACAAAGTTTGAAGCCGAAATGATCGGTCGCTGAAGCTAAAAAAACCGACATAAAAAAATACAAAACACCCGGTCCCTTAATCCGGGTCAGGTCAACCCTTATTAATTACTAGAACAAGGGTTCAACGACTTAAGGTAGAACGTATAATAATAAACACATTAGAGCCAATAAAGGCAGACTGTGTTTATTAACTACATAAAACTACATACTTTAGTGTATCATTAATAGTCTTTTTTCGGATATGTAATATTTTTAGGTAATACAACGTAAGTTGTTCAGATGTTAACGATACGGACATTTGTCAACTGGTATATTTTAAGTAAGTGTTATAAGACTGTATATGTTTCTTACTGGTGGTAGGACCTCTTGTGAGTCCGCGCGGGTAGGTACCACCACCCTGCCTATTTCTGCCGTGAAAAAGTATTGCGTTTCGGTTTGAAGGGCAGGGCGGCCGTTGTAATTATACTGAGACCTTAGAACTTATGTCTCAAGGTGGATGGCGCATTTACGTTGTAGATGTCTATGGGCTCCAGTAACCACTTATCACCAGGTGGGCTGTGAGCTCGTCCACTCATCTAACCAATAAAAAAATTACTTATAAGGTTCGCCACTCGCTAGCCCAATGAGTTTCTAACCGGATCCTCTGAGTGGTTCACGATTCTGATCCGGTGGTAGATTCAGCGAAGCACTGCTTTTGCTAAGGACAACGTTAGCAATTCTCTTAGGTTGACGTAAGTTAGCAAGTAGTTGGCTACCCCTTATTATCCTTATACAAATATCCTTTTGGCTACCAACAATTAGGTATGACAAAAAAAAAACGCCTAACTAATAATGCGTTTATTTTGCAAGCTAATACTGAGATAATCGATTGTGTTGTCATCATCGTAAACTCATCGTAAACTAAAGGAAAACGAACGCTACCACTATGACAGAGTTCCCAATTTTTCTATGTGAATCCTAACTTAAGATGTGTTCATGAACGACTTCTCAAGAAATAACATCGTGTAGTAGAAGACAATGTTTATTACAAAGAATTAGTAGCGTTAGGGCGTCTTGTAAGCCCGCCGAAGTAGATTCCACTACAATGTCTATTTCTGCCGCGAAACAATCATATATTCCGGTTATCCTAAGCATTTTTTATTTATTGCTTAGATGGGTGGACGAGCTCACGCCCCAACCGGTGTTAAGTGGTCACCGGAGCCCATAACATCTACAACGTAAATGCCGCCATCCACCTTGAAATATGAGTTGTAAGGTCTCACTTTAAGCAGTACAATAATGTGTGTGTGGATGTTTTGTATTTTAAGCAGTACAATTGAGACTCAACTCTCATGTCTCAAGGCACTACAATAATGAGATGTCTATACTATGTGGTATGCGCTTACGACAACGTAGCTAGCTCCTTTACACTTCGATGTAATGAGAAACCCCAAAGATGAACCCCAACCCGACTTCTAGTGTGAACCATATGAGCAATACATACCTTGAGTGGTATATTAGATGTTCCAATCAGTTCGTTGTCATGTTTTCCGGTTGAGGCTGTAATCGCGATCTCCTTGACCAGTTTACGGAGACCTTTCACGCCCTTCACATCAAATATTTTCGTCATCTTCTCTTTGACCGTCTCTGCTGGATCGAAGTCCCTGTGAACAAAAAGCGCAGACGCTTATCCGATTGTTACATACAGACTCTACTACAACAACTGAATATAGCCAGACTTAAAGTTTGTGTTTTAAAATATTTATACCTAGTGTCAAAAGTTGAACATTATCAACGATCTAACTATGAGTACAAACTCACGACGTTTTTTTCTCGAGACAAATAACATTTATAATTTAACACAATTTAAAAAAAAACCCTTAATGAATATATTCGTGAACTCAAACTGCGTAGAAATTACTTTAAATTTGGAAACAAATGACTAGACTGGTGGTAGGACCTTTTGTGAGTCCGCGCGGGTAGGTGCCACCGCCTTACCTATTTCTGCCGTGAAGCAGTAATGCGTTTCGGTCTGAAGGGTAGGGGAGCCGTTGTAACTATACTGAGATTTTAGAACTTATATCTCAAGGTGGGTGGCGCATTTACGTTGTAGATGTCTATGGGCTCCAGTAACCACTTAACACCAGGTGGGCTGTGAGCTCGTCCTCCCATCTAAGCAATAAAATTTTTTATAAAAAAGTAGACTAATGAGTAATTTTCAAAGTTATCTAAGATCAAATATATGTACTTTGATGCACTTAAAACATGTACTTTGTACGTAATTTATTGAGGTTTGCTAATAAATAAGGGTATCTGTATATGACATACAGTATTAAGGACCTATCGTAATAGTAGCTTTAGTTGTGACGGTAGGCAGCAGCGAATGAAGAATGCCTACGCTTCTGGTGTTGCTGGTATGAATGAAGTATTCACTGGTACATTAATGTCAGTCAAGCCACATGACACTGGAGGTTAATAATAATATCTTGAGCATGTTAGTTATGTACACTTTCCTCTATTATCTTCAATGAATAGTAAAATTGCCGCAGAAATCCTCCTGTCTGCACGTTGTCGACATATACAGATGTATGAGGGCTCAGCTGAACTTGCATACCAATTGCGACAATCAAGTAATAAAAAAAAACTTACCACACTTCTAGGCAAAGGGAATCTTCATTCACAGTGCCAGACATGGGTCTGAAACAAAGTAATAATATTATTTTGCATTTTTACGTTTATCACGATTTTGTGGGCAGCGACTTGGCTCTTCCCTCTGGTATTGTTGATGTCCATGAGCGAAGGTAATCTCTCACCATCAGGTGACGTTTGCCGGTGCCTCAGTGGCAATAAAAAACATATAAATAAAACTAAGTCATATATTTATTCGAATGCAAGTCTGCGACAAATCAAATTAAAACTACTGAAGTTTAAAAAAACTTTGCCAAGAAAAACGTGGCCTGCATTCTGCATTGAAGCGGTACAGAAAAATCGTAAACGTTTTATTACCACATCCAAATACCGAACGATCTTTACTATATGTGTTTCTTTTTTCGTCCTATCTTCAGGCTGATGCTATATTGCATATGAGTCGACTATTATCAAAGCCGGCAATGTGACTTTTGGACAATTATTAGTAAATTAGAAAAACGAATTATTGACTTTGTATTCCATTGGCAGTCACAAAACTCTTCTGAACGACATCTTAGATAAATAACAGGTTAAGTATTAACCTTTATTTAATGCAGGTTTTGGACCGTATTCTTTGAAGGAGACGATTATATTCAAATCAATCTGTATTGACATATCAATAACATTTTTTTGTCCAAATGCACAGATTGCCACCTTTGATAATAGACGACTCATATACATTAATATTTAAGAAAAATAAATACATTTTTTCGAATTTTAGTATACATATATACATGATACATGAGAGCCAAAATGATAAAATATACTATCTCAACATAGACGAAACACTAAATTAATTCCCTAAGCTAATCATGAATATGTACCCGCAATTACAGCAAATATTGATGTAGACGACATCTTGGCACAAGACTACTATAGACATCACACATCACACTTGTTTTCAAACGAGGCTTGTGGAGAGTTTTAAGCAGTAGGCAGAGGCTTGGCTCTGCCCCTGGCATTGCTGACGTCCACGAGCGGAAGGGGAATTAAAAAAATGCGTTTTCATTGCATTACATGGCGTACAATGCTATCAAATTTAATGCAATAAAGTCTCTTAAGTCCAAATTCGATATCGTGCAAGAATGTACTATTGCCCTCAACAAGCATTTGTAAATAAGACTAATAAAGATATCTTTTTGCCCTTATCCCATTTTGAGAAGTCCCCCATTATGAGGAGTCGGCGCAGCATGTCCCCTTATCACGCTATACAAGAATTTAATAGCTCATAAATATTTCAGAATCAATAATAATAGTATACTCACAAAGAAAAATGTTCTTCCCAAACAGGATTTAGAGTTCCCGACTTCACCGATGTGTTGTACCGGTGTGACGAGTTCGACATCAAATAAATCGTAACGAACGGATCGCTGAGACCATTCGGGTCTTTAGGAACTAAATCTTTGGCTTCAACCACCTCGACATTCAGCATCAACTCCGGAGGCTCTTTAGCCTCCGCTTTGGTAAGAAGTTGCGTGTGTTTATCATTGCCTATTTTAAATGCTTCTTGCACGTAGGATAGCATCGCGTGCTGTCCGACTTCACAGCCTACATCACATCCCCCGACATTGTGTAGGATCTCGTAAAGTATTTCCAAGTATAGTTCATCAATCTGTAAACAAAATACATTTTATTACATGTACAATTAAAAAAACAATCCATGATTTAGCAGCATGTACCCCTGGAGGTTTGCTTATGCATAATAAGCTTTGATCANTTGCACGTATGATAGCATCGCGTGCTGTCCGACTTCACAGCCTACATCACATCCCCCGACATTGTGTAGGATCTCGTAAAGTATTTCCAAGTATAGTTCATCAATCTGTAAACAAAATACATTTTATTACATGTACAATTAAAAAAACAATCCATGATTTAGCAGCATGTACCCCTGGAGGTTTGCTTATGCATAATAAGCTTTGATCATTGTTGATAAATAAATTGATTACTATTCATGTCAAGTAAAATTCAAAGAATATTTAATAAACTTCCTCACAACACTTCAGCATACGCCAACCAAAGATACACGAGACAAATATGAATCATTTAATGACATAATCGAATTAATTGTGTGCCACAATCATCGATAAGCAATTTGATTTGATTGTTATCGAAGAAATCGAAATAAAATGTTTAACGATTATCTGGCTGCCTTTTAGTTGAAAAGCAGACATGGGAAATCGCAGTTAACAAGGCATACATACCGACGAATCATAGTAATAACGTAGTTGCATAAACGCAACGAAATCACCGGTGCGACAACAACTGCACTAGATCAATAGCCTGCCCCGAATGAATCATGGTTGTTTTGTGGGGGACGCAACACCGGAAGAAGCCATGGCGAATGCTACTCTCTAAACAAACGGACAGTACACTTTCAAGAGACCTCATAAAACGGTGGGGTTACCGCGTCGTCGTGGGAACCATATCGATTTGATAACCAAGCTGGTGGTTTCGATTATTCGCTCAGCTGATCGCACTTCACGTGGATCTTGTGTTTTACCAATCGCTTGGAAAATAAACATTGACTGAGAACTTCTTGAAAATCAATGACTCATACAAAAAAATGTACTCCGGTATCGTGAGAGCACAAAAGATGTTTCGACGGTGAGATGTTTTAAGATTGCGTTAATGTATTTGACCTAATTTCATACAGAACGTAAACAATAGTGCAATTACTATCATTTATCAATCATCAATAACCAAACGCCCGCTATTTTTAAAATTAGAAATAATAAAAATTCTGTTTTATTTATCAGTTTGTAGTATATAATTTAAAGTATTTTTTTCTATAGTCATATCAATGTAGTATACCTACTGTCATTGACTGGATTATCATGCTAGTCTGTCTGTCTAACAACTCTTTTTTCACGCCCCTGAACTTGGAACGCAGTGTCCCTGTACCGTTCATTTTAATTATGACTACACTTGAACTTTTCCACACGTTCCTATTTTACATAACACTTCACTTAATAACTATTGATATCACGAAAATAACTCCGTTTCCGACATCGTTTTGTCTGGCCCCGAACACTATATAATTTCCACAGCTGTATTTTTACGTGGTGTTTAATTTAAATGAATTTGGTGGGAGCTGGCGATGCACTGGGCAAGTCCGACCGGGACTCGGGATTCAACTCGCACTGCCGCCAAAATCTATTTTTGCAAAGCGCCGCCACCGAAGACTAATGCGATTCCAAATAATAAAAAAGAATTATCAAAAATATTTTAAAACACCATACGCGTCGACCCGAAACGACATTTTTAGAATATCAAAAACATCCCGACAACACAACACGAGAGAATTAATATTTTTANGGCAAGTCCGACCGGGACTCGGGATTCAACTCGCACTGCCGCCAAAATCTATTTTTGCAAAGCGCCGCCACCGAAGACTAATGCGATTCCAAATAATAAAAAAGAATTATCAAAAATATTTTAAAACACCATACGCGTCGACCCGAAACGACATTTTTAGAATATCAAAAACATCCCGACAACACAACACGAGAGAATTAATATTTTTATGTTGCTTCTTCTACCCAGATACGGATCATGAATGACTTTATTAGATCGGTTTTCTCAATAAATAATTATGATTTATGACTGAACAAACATTTTTATATGAGTGATATTTAAACGCCAGTACATTAAGGAAAGTTTAATAGACAAGTGAAGCAACCTGTGCTAGTTAAATAAATAGAACCATTGAATCCGAAACACAATTGATTGATTTATAATATTTCTTCCATTAACACAGATAAAGATGAACTGTGAATAGTTTTCAAACCATTCCTTTGTAAGATAAACTATTTTAAATTCGTTATAAAAATTTAAGCATCCAAAGCTTTTTGTTGCACTATAGGAGTGAACGAGCTCACGAACCATCTGATGTTAAGTGGTTATCGGGACTTAACGAATGCTGCCGCCTCCCCCACCCCATTAATAAATGACGTCGAAATCACGATTTTATGTATATTGGTGCCAAGCTTCAAGCCTGAACGTATGAGTGCTATGCGGCAGAAATAGACGAGAATATGGTACCCATTCATGCGGGTTCACATTAGCCAATGCCCCCTCCCTCCATTAATTACGTAGCTTTGAAATATTTTATATCAAATTAACACAATCTAATTCTAATAGACAATTATAATTACTTCTATAAGGTTATTAATGCAATATTTATTCGGTTTACGAAATTTTATTATTTATATTGTGGATTATTTGTGTATACAAACTTAAACGACGGTCAAGCACGTAGGCTCCGTGCGGAATTCCTAGCAGCACGCGTTCAGAGATTTATTTACTTTATCAACCACGTGCGTTTACACTCTCCAGAAACGGAAATTATAACATTTACCTCGGCACTTAAACCTAATTTATTTACGTAATTCAACAAGCTCCCTAACAGAAAACGTAAATGTAGAAACGCATTAAATGATTTAGACTTACAACGAACGTTCACCTCGAATAGTAGGTACTAGTGAATGTATGGAAAACCCTGACTTTACTTCGCCGTTCTTTCTTATTAGCAATATAAGCAGCAAATTAATTGCGGCATTCATTTCGTGATGTCCACGGGATCTGGTTACCACTTTACACCAGGTGAGCTCATTAACCTGTATTAAAAAAATATCGAATCCGCCTGACGTACTTACTGGACGGGCAAATTGCACCTTTACAATTATAGAGACCCAACCCAAAAATTATGTTTTTTTTTTGAAAACATCTAATAAAGTTTTCAAACCGAAAATACGTATTATAGAGGAAGGGGACGGAGCGAAAGAGACCGATGGATAAGTTTTTCCCTTTATAAGCAAATTTTGGTAATTTGATTAATATGAGTCACTGAAAAGGTTCGTTCTAGGTCCACTTTTGAATTTTAAACTTTAGTCTCAATCCAATAATTTCGATATGGGTCTCTATAATTAATTGTAAAGGTGCGATATAGGCAAAGCATTATTATCCACTCACATAAAGAGGCATGGGTGAACGTGATACTGCTGTGAAGAATAAAAATGCACTAGGTATTAATTTTATGCAACACTTAATGGTTTTATTATTATTTTAGTGTAGATATTTAATATAACTAAGTTTGATAGTGAAAGCACCGAAAAAATTTAGGTTTAATTTTTTTTTACAAAAAGTGCGACTGTTCATTTGCTATTTACTGTCTGATTATCTAAGTTAATTAATTAATTCCACATTTAATTTAGTATTACTTCCTGAACTATTTGAATTTTCTTGAAGATTTAAAAAAATATTTATGTTGGTGGTTGTTATTGAGTAATATTTCAAAACAATATATTTATTATTATTGTGTGGCTCAAACATAATAAAGTTAATAAAACTCGTTATTATCCAATTCAAATCAATGTGCTTTAGTGAACCAGTAAACACGTTACATATAGCTTCGAATATTGTTTCTGATAAGCTGACTGGTCGGCTAATTTAATACATCTTGAAACTTTCCAGAACATTCGGAATTAAACGTAGACCTACTGTGAAAGATAACGTTTATAAAATAACATTACCAATACCGGGTTACCATAATAGGTTATTCGTGTCCGCGCTTGGAGGACTTTTATCAACAGTTCCGTGGATACAAAGAGGAACAAAAATACATACAAAAGAGGGGAATGACATTGGAGAACAACAATTCTAATTACAGCAATCATTGAAGAAAACCTCGAAGTTGACAAAATTTCATGATAAAAGTGAATATTTGGCTATTTGCCATAACGCGAGTTAAATGAATGATGTTTGCGTCAACAGAGTTGCCCACCAGATAACTAACGATGCAGTTAACGAGTAACATAACAGTGAAACCTTGAAGTAATTTTCAGAACATAATAGGAAACGTACCAAGCGATAACATTCAATTTGTTCAAATACGGAATATTTGGTTACCTAACAATGCTGCAAAAAAAAATGTAAATCATACCTCATTACACAAAATGAGAGAAGATAAATTGAACCTTGTGCAGAATATAAAGGTTCCCTTGCGGAATGACAAGAGAATTAAAACATTACCACAATCTCTGTGGTCGTCGTGGTCTCCAAAAAAAAAGAAAACCTACAAAATGCCGTCTCTAAAAAAAAGGCGAATCTAAGAATGAACCATACGTTAGAACGAACAAAAATATGTCAATGTCTAGTTCAAAATAAAACTACACGTTCTTTTCCGTCATGTCGTAACTAACGTTCGCTGTCTCGTGGGGACATACGATTGTCTAAGTCATAAGTATTTTCGCCTTATTCTTAAACCTTTAGGAATAGACGACGATAAAGTATTTGTATACCTTCTACCTTCTCCGTGTTTTTTTCCTGTAGATGGGTAGACGAGGTCACGGCCCCCCTGCTTTTAAGTGGTTACCAAAGTATATATTTCAGAAGGTATACGAATATATACCGAAGTATATATATATATATAACACAGCGAAAATGCCGCCGCCCACTTTGAAACACAAGATCGAAGTCTCCACTGTATTGAAAAACGATTATCAAAAAATCGCCGATTTTACACCTACAGTAATTAATAAAAGTGTCTCGACACACAAATTACATTACTCGACACGAAGAGATCGAGCGTCTTTTTCTCAATAAACAGATAAAAATTCCGATACACATTTAAAGGTGAGCAAACAAGCCCGTTTATCACACGAATTTTTGGACGATGTTCGAATCAAGTCCACGACCGTAACTACTACCTACCTACTGCACCGCCAAGTCAGTCATATGGTTTCAAATCGTCGGCATTGTATTTAACATCTAAGTATACTAATATTTAAATCTACAGTGGTTTTTACGGATGTTCCGTTTTAACTACTGAACCATGCATCCGATTGACTTGAAACTTGGTTTCCATGTAGAAAATACATGTACTTAACGGATAGGCTAATATTTATATGAGTGTTGGACTCCCTACACCAGTTGCGGGGGCGTTAATGATGAGAATCTTTGTGGTGGTGAGAAATAATAATGTTAATTTTAAATGCCCAGCGAAGCGGAGGGGTACAGCTAGTATGTTATAAGGTTGTGCCTATTTAAATAAAGTATGAAATATAACCAATACTCACATTCCAGCCAACTGCCTCGATTATCCGTCCTATCTTATCATGTTCATCAGGTTCAGAATCTGTGTCCAATAATGTCTCGTTGCCACTGTCTGTGTCTCTGGTTACAGTTCTAAGCTCGCTTCGTAATTCTGCTCCGATCTTCTGCTCGTTATCGTCCTCTTCAATTTCTTTGAGAGGAGCCAAAGGCGTAGATTCTTCTAGAGCAGCTCTCTGGGATGCCTGTTTCAGTATTGAGCCGAATTTCTCGAAAAAGCTGTCATCGACTTCTTGTATTCTGTAAAAAACGGGATATCTTTAAAGGATATTATATTATAAAACCAATTTGATGCATTATTATATTTATACAATGTCCATACACACCTGCTTTCCTATCAAAATATAATTATATCTGATGATGAGTTGAAAAAACAAAGTAAAATGTATCAAAATAGATGCTATGCTAATGACTTGATAGGCCTTGTTTTGTTTTAATTTTTTTAATGTTTAATGTAAATCATATTACTTTCGTAACATTAGTTTTATTGCATTGCTAAGTATTCTGAATAAAAGTTTTTATCTTCTGTTTAGAAGTGATCAATTACTAAATCCGCATATTGGGCGTTTATTTTTTAAGTATGCTTTTGCAACATAACACATAATCCTACAAGACATTTGGTTTTGGGAATGAAGGATTACTAGTAGCCCGGAGATCTTTCCAGTTTCACCAGGACAGATAGGCAAGCAATGGCTCAGCCAGGAAGATATTTATTTTGCTGGCTTTTACTGTTTACATTTGTCATTTAAATATTTAAATGTGTTTGTGACCACAACTATGACTAGATATACATACACTTGAATAAAAATATAAGTATGATCAAATCTTATCTTTTTTTAATAAGATAAACAGGAACAACAACAAATTAAGAACATTATTTTATTCTACAATCACATTTATTGGAAGACTGGAATGTTTCACTAAGTGATTCATACATATTAATATAACAATTTATAAATAACAAGAGTATTAAAAAACAACAAACAAACTTAAATAAGAAAAACAAGACAAAATTGGTTACACTTAAAAAGTAACTAAATCAATATTTAATTCATAATAAATTTTTTTTCTTGTCAAATTTTTATTTATCCAATCCTGACATTAGTGTGTACTTTAAATCAGTATACTCCACTGCACCATGGAGGCTGCCTTCACGCCCTATACCAGACTCTTTAACACCTCCAAATGCTGGTTCTGCTGCAGACAAAATCCCATCATTTATAGCAACCATGCCAAATTCAAGATTCTTAGACATTCTAANTCATAATAAATTTTTTTTCTTGTCAAATTTTTATTTATCCAATCCTGACATTAGTGTGTACTTTAAATCAGTATACTCCACTGCACCATGGAGGCTGCCTTCACGCCCTATACCAGACTCTTTAACACCTCCAAATGCTGGTTCTGCTGCAGACAAAATCCCATCATTTATAGCAACCATGCCAAATTCAAGATTCTTAGACATTCTAAATGCTTGACCTAAATCTTTCGTGAAAATGTAAGCAGCTAATCCACTTCTTGTGCTATTGGCCATTTTTAATGCCTCCTCTTCACTCTTCATTTTTATACAAGTAGCTACTGGGCCAAACACTTCTTCTTTAAATATTTGCATATCCTGGTTAACATCAACAAGTAAAGTGGATTCATAAAACTTATTCCCCAGATTCTTTGCAAATTTCCCTCCTGAAAGCACCTTGGCACCTTTTGCAACAGCATCATCAACAAGTCCGGATACTTTCTTGGCTTGCTCATTATTTATAAGTGGTCCACAAGTGACACCTTCCTTTGTACCAGGTCCTAATACACATTTTTTTTCAATTCTGGCCTTAAACTTTTTAACAAAGTCGTCAAATACTATCTCATGTATCAAAAACCTATTTGCCCCAATACAAGCTTGGCCATTATTTCTAAATTTAGCCAGCATTGCTTGATCAACAGCATGATCAATATCAGCACTTGGGAAAACAATGAATGGAGCGTTGCCTCCCAATTCCAAAGCAACTCTTTTAATGCCTTTGGCTGCAAGTCCATATAAAATTTTTCCTACAGTTGTGGAACCTGTAAATGATATGCACCTCACATATTCATCTTCACACATGACTTTTCCAACTGTAGGAGCATTCTTTCTACTTGTCGTAACAACATTAACTACACCTTTAGGAACTCCAGCTTGATGAGCCAATTCAACAGCTGCAAGTGCAGATAATGGTGTGTCTTCAGAAGGCTTAATGACACAGGTACACCCAGCTGCCATTAAAGCCCCAACTTTTCTAGTTATCATTGCAAAGGGGAAGTTCCAGGGAGTAATTACAGAAACAACTCCAAGAGGGTTTCGTGTGAGAAGTATCTGCTTATTCGGCCATGGGCTCGGTATGATTTCTCCATTAATATGACGAGCACTATCCGCAAACCACTCCAGGAACGAATTACCATAAGCAACTTCCCCTTTGGCCTCAGCGAGTGGTTTCCCAGATTCAGCTGTTATCACTTCTGCCAAATTATCGGTATTTTTTTCACATAAGTCAAACCACCTCCTTAAAATACGAGACCGTTCTTTTGCGGTAGTATCTTTCCATGTTTGAAACGCATTAGATGCGGTTAGTAACGCGTTCTGTGCATCTTTTGAATCCATATCCGGCACCTCTGCTACTACACTGTCGTCAGCTGGATTATGAACTGCAAACACCAAATTACTTTTTGCCTTAACCCATTCTCCGTTCACATAGGCTTGATTCCTCAATAAATGCAAACGTCTGCATTGATTTATGTACATTTTTTGGCTTTCAACTAGGTTCCCGGAACGTAAAAGATATGTTCTCAATTATAATATGTGCATAATCTATGGATATGTACATTCACAAGTAATTTGTGATTATTTTTTTCTCCCATTTCTTGGCCTGCACGGTTTGTGCGTCAGCCATGCAAAAAGGTTAGGAAGTGCGTTCACATAGGCTTGATTCCTCAATAAATGAAAACGTCTGCATTGATTTATGTACATTTTTTGGCTTTCAAATAAGTTCCCGGAACGTAAAAGAAGTACCGTAAAATGGGGCGATTAGGGACAAATTCCAACTTTATGAGCAATTTTAAGGTAGTTGTTGATGTATATAATGCTATATCAGGATCAAAATGATTGAGTCTTGGGGGCATCTTTGTTGTCTAATTTAAAATTATGCAACTAGCATTCCAGTTTAAGCAAAAAATGCAAAAATAGGTGTAATCCCTATTTACCCGAAAATTGCGGTTAATTGGGACGAAATGAGAAATTTGCTAGGGTTGGCACTACTTTTATTTTTATATATAGTTTTAATTTATTTATTTATTTAGTTGCACCAACAAAGTGATCATCAATAAAAAAAATTGAAAAACTGACAAAAGTACATGGCAGACATCACCTCAATTATAGGTGCAATCGACAGTGCTGATATTTCTATCTGGGTTAAGAGATTAGGTGTGTCGGTTATTCCATGGATTAATCAGATGAATACCCCCACTCTGAACAAATATTAAATATTTTATTATGTATTACTTAGACATTTTTGTCCACCTTGAGATTTCATTGATCTTGTTACATGTCTCTGCAAAATCGACTTACTTATATTAAATTGCTTATCTATTTCAACTAAAGACTTATTCCCAATTTCGCTTCGAATAAACCAGATTTTTACCAACAAATTTAAAAAATATTGTTATAACTACATAGACAACCCTACAAACCTGTACCTATTTATACTTAGGTCGTTTCCATTTCACGTATTCTCATCCCAATTGACCCCTTTTTCGTTGTTATTTGTACCTAAGACGTCCCCAATATCCCCAAAAACAACAGATTTTTACATGTATTTTTATTTAATCAAATACATTAAAACCAATAACAACTGAGACTTACCTTTAATATATATGCTGGTTCAAACACTAAATAACGTTTATAAATCATAGTCGTCTTCTATTATTATCAAATAAATAAAAGAGAGCAAAGTTTCTAGCACTAAAATAATTACCACCACAGGAAGTTAATTTGAAACGCGATTTTTTATAAGTTAGCAGCTATTATCATGCATATTCAGAGTTGTTTTGTGAACTTTCAACATTCTACTATTAAACTACAAAAAATGAAAGATTTTGCAACGAATATAAAACTTATATTGAGCGTCGAAAGATTTTCCCGGTTTTTTCCCGATTCGCCTCTCAATCCCTAATCGCCCCATTTTACCGGTACTCTAATTATTTATTATTATTAAGTGTATAATCTATGGTTAAGTACATTCACAAGTAATTTGTGATTTTTTATTTTCTCCCATTTCTTGGCCTGCACGGTTTGTGCGTCAGCCATGCAAAAAGGTTAGGAAGTGTGTTAATGGATTGATTTTTTTGGATTGGAAATTGGAACGGAATTTGGAAAAAGGATCAGGTATATTTATTATATAAACTAAGTACACAAATGGTTACAATTTGATATTATTATGAAAAATAAAACTAGCTAAAATTATATATACATCAATATTAATATTAGATAATGGGACATAAATTGAAGTAGGAAAAGGAATTTTAAGCGACAAGCGAGGAAATAAAAGCGGAACGGTCAAATTTGTGATTTGTAAATTAACGTTTTCACTGTTGCTTCCGTAACAACTTAGGGCTGAAAAGGAGTTTAAGGACACCAATGTTATAAGAATTACTGATTTTTAATGTACAGTTAATGAACAATTCAATATTTAAAATCTGTTATTCGGAGAATGCCAACAAACAAAATCTTCGTTTGATTTCAATCAATACGATACACTCAATACCTTTAATTTTTTAGCAGTATGCACTTCTATTTTTATAAACTGGAAAGGCAAATGTATCTTACTATAAGCCTAATCTTTTATATTGTTTTTTATTATGAAAAATTTTAATAATATGGAGGGAAATGAATTGAAGTTAATTAATTAAAAACATCCCATATGATCTCATCTCATTTCATTTCAATTAATTTCATTTCATTTCATGCCATTTTTCAATTAACTTCATTTCATTTTGATATAATTTAGAGTTCTTTGTAGCAGAATCCAATCTTTAAATCGCAGAGTGCAGGCAGTGACGAAATAATATACTAACACACTTTTATAAATTAGAATTAGTTACGTGGATGTTTTAGAATTTTATATTGAAATCACAGTTTTCTTATTTTATTTTACTTCACAAACCGACAGACATTTTTTTACATAATAATGACACCTATTCTCACTGCTGTCTATATATATGTTTTCTTTTTTTTTGATAAGGAGTTTCTATATCTATCATCTCCAACACATTTCACTTCATATTATCAGTTTTCTGATAAAAATATACTTATAAATAATATAAAAGGTTACGCTGTATCGTACGACACCTTTGCCTTTCCAGTTGTTAAAATAAAACTACTACTACTATCTATGGTGGCGTCTCTCAATTATTATTTTATTGACTTTTTGGCGGGAACGCGAGGAGTGAAGTTGCGTGTTTTTTTTTATTTTGTCTATGTAGTGTTTCTTCAAGTTTAAATGTGTAATAACGGTGGTTTATTAACTATTTAGCATCTGTGAAAGTGCACAAATGCGGTAAAATGAAACAAAGCCGATGAACGTAAATTCTCGGGATTCCCCAAAAAATCTACTGAAAAAGTCTCAGTAAATGACCACCATTTTACTGATATTATACTTCATCCCATATCATCTTATTTCATTTCATAATATCATTTTTCATATAAAAAAGTTATCATTGAAATTAGACTTGACCTACAAGGCTTAGTTACCAGGTCATAAAAACCCTTAAGAAAATACATATATATTAAGTGTATAATCTATGGTGGTATTTCAAGAAGATTTTTTAAAGGACTTGGCTTCGGCCTTAATGACATTTTTATTTCAGGATACATTAATATTTAGAAAAATTATATCAGAGAATATATAGAGCAGACAAGGCTGTATGGGCTTAGATCCCCTTGCCTTTCCTAACAAGGAAAAATTGTACCAAAAATAATATCTATGGTAGCGTCACTGGTGTCATTGTTATTGTTTGTGAGTTTGTGCTCAATTTTGTAAGTTTTGTTAATTATACTACGAAAATCATGGAACAGTAAGTCCTATTTCATTTAATCTACTAACATGGATATATTCTATACATTTTATGTCAAAAACAACGTTAGAGGCAACTGTTAAAAGTGTAAAGAATTCGTAGATTTTTTTGTTGGTGATATAATAATATGATAGTAAGATTATTAAAATTAAAATGCTATTGAATATATGTAATTAGATCACTATTTAAGTGAACTTTAATAGATAGACCATAAGAGTAGAGCGCTCAGGAGTGCGAACGTGTGGTGGCCAACATGGTAGCGGTCGTCTCAACGGCAAGCCTTCGGTTTCTAAACCGTAATAACCTATTAAAATAAAATCTAAAAAAATATTTTTTTTGTAGAAACGTATGTGGTTCAAGCAGCGGGGCAAGCACACCGAAGACTAAGCGGCGTGTGAAGTATGTATTTACCAAACATATTTTTGCGTTTATTTTTTTGATAAGTGTATATGTTATTAAATATTTGCTTTATTTTTCAGAAATCCGCGTTATTCCAATTCTAGCCCAAGAAAACGTCGTAATCAGTAAGTTCATCTCATTTCATTTCAATTAATTTCATGCCATGTTTCATATTAATTAACTTCATTTCATTTTGATATAATTTAAAGTTCTTTGTAGCAGAATCCAATCTTTAAATAGCAGAGTGCAGGCAGTTACGAAATAATATACTAACACACTTTTATAAATTAGAATTAGTTACGTGGATGTTTTAGAATTTTATATTGAAATCACAGTTATGTTATTTTGTTTTACTTCACGAACCGACAGACATTTTTTCACTGATTCATGACACCTATTCTCACTGCTGTCTATGTGTATGTTCCAACACATTTCACTTCATAACGCTGTATTGTACGACACCTTTGCCTTTCCAGTTGTTAAAATAAAACTACTACTACTATCTATGATGGCGTCTCTCAAATACATATACAGTCAAACCTGGATAAGTGAGAACTGGATAAGTGAGAAAACTCTGTAAGTGAGAGTAATAGCCAGGACCCGTCATTTTAAGCTCCCAAAACCTCTATTAGCGAGAAACGGAAACCTCTGTAAGAGAGAGTCGGGTTTCCCTCATGGACCTCCGTAAGTGAGACTGCTACTTATCTATACCTCTATAAGCGACAGTCGAGCTTTATTTATTTAGGAGGAACAAATGACAAAACAAATTATAAATTTAATTGTTTTCTTGTCAATATTGAACCTATTCTGTTTCGTGTAACTAAATAACGTTGTTATTTTATCGCATTCTTTTCGAATGGACACGTGGGCCTGTGTACCGTCCTGTTTGTCGGACTTACTCAGATTATCGTAAATCAATTGCGAAGGAAAGTTCTGTTCTGCATCATGACAAAACAGAAAATTAAAGTACTGTCATTAAGTGGTAAACTTAAGATAGTGAATGCGTTTGAATCCGGAAAATCGCGCAATGTAATTCAGACGGTGCATTAGCGAGAAACTCGGGTTAGTGAGAAACCTCTATAAGCGAGAATGAGATTGTGCTCCCTTGAACTCTCGCTTATCCAGGTTTGACTGTATTAGGACTTTTTGGCGGAAACGTGAGGAGTGAAGTTGTGTGATTTGTTTTATTTTGTCTATTTAGTGTTTCTTCAGGTTTAAATGTTTTTTTTTAATGCTTAGATGGGTGGACGAGCTCACAGCCCACCTGGTGTTAAGTGGTTACTGGAGCCCATGGACATTTACGACGTAAATGCGCGACCCACCTTAAGATATAAGTTCTAAGATCTCAATATAGTTACAACAGCTGCCCCACCCTTCAAACCGAAAGGCATTACTGCTTCACGGCAGAAATAGAGGCGGGGTGGTGGTACCCACCCGTGCGGACTCACAAGAAGTCCTACCACCAGTGATTACGCAAATTATAATTTTGCGGGTTTGATTTTTATTACACGATGTTATTCCTTCACCGTGGAAGTCAATCGTGAACATTTGTTAAGTACGTATTTTACCAGAATAATTGGTACCCACCTGCGGGATTCGAACACCGGTGCATCGCTACGTACGAATGCACCGGACGTCTTATCCTTTAGGCCACGACGACTTACAAAATGTGTAATAATGGTGGTTTATTAACTGTTTGATATCTGTGAAAGTGCACAAATGTGAGAAAATAAAACAAAGCCGCTAGACATAACTTTTCTGGATCCTCCACAAAGTCCACTGAAAAAATCTTAGTAAATAACCACCATTTTACTGAGATTAAATTTCATCCCATCTCATCTCATTTCGTTGAATTTCATCCCAGTCGATTAATGTCTCAAATTAATCACCTTCATGTCATTTCACTCCATAATATCATTTTTCATAAAAATATGAATATAAATTAAAATAAGACATGACTTAAAGGTCTTGGCTACCAGGTCATAAAATCCCTTAATAGTGGCGTCACTGGCGTCTTAATTGTTACTGTATGCGCGCGAGTTCATGTCCATCGGGGCCAGAGGCGACGCGCGGGGGACAGCTCGCCCCACCTCCACCCGCCTGCCCGCATTTGTCTGACGTCGAGTGTTGTCCGTGACGGTTATGACGCGCGCTTATCGATATCGAAAATTTACGCTAACGCTATTGTGTTATTTAACCATAACTACTCCGCTTCCAACAACTCCAGATAGAAAAAAAACCTGAAAAAAGATACATACTGATTCCGACTCTAATCTGTCGGTTGTCTTTTCATTCGATAGTGATTAAATTGGAAATTAAAAAAAAAAACTATTAGAAATAAACAAGTAATTACTTATCACATTTATTTTATTTCATAAATTGCAAATTTACCCAAAAAAAATTAAACCAAATTGACAGCTGTTGACTAAATCGGTAATTATTATCGACATTACCATAATTAATTAGGCCACAGCACTACCGCATTCCTCAGGATGGACATGAACTCGCGCGCCTACAGTATGTTTGTGAGTTTGTTCTCAATTTTGTAAGTTTTGTTAATTATACTACGAAAATCATGGAACAGTAAGTCCTATTTCATTTAATCTACTAACATGGATATATTCTACACATTTTATGTCAAAAACAACGTTAGATGCAACTGTTAAAAGTGTAAAGAATTTGTAGATTTTTTTGTTGGTGATATAATAATATGATAGTAAGATTATTAAAATTAAAATCCTATTGAATATATGTAATTAGATCACTATTTAAGTGAACTTTAATAGATAGACCATAAGAGTAGAGCGCTCAGGAGTGCGAACGTGTGGTGGCCAACATGGTAGCGGTCGTCTCAACGGCAAGCCTTCGGTTTCTAAACCGTAATAACCTATTAAACTAAAATCTAAAAAAATATTTTTTTTGTAGAAACGTATATGGTTCAAGCAGCGGGGCAAGCACACCGAAGACTAAGCGGCGTGTGAAGTATGTATTTACCAAACATATTTTTGCGTTTATTTTTTTAATAAGTGTATATGTTATTAAATATTTGCTTTATTTTTCAGAAATCCGCGTAATTCCGATTCTAGCCCAAGAAAACTTCGTAATCAGTAAGTTCATCTCATTTCATGTCAATTAATTTCATGCCATGTTTCATATTAATTAACTTCATTTCATTTTGATATAATTTAAAGTTCTTTGTAGCAGAATCCAATCTTTAAATAGCAGAATGCAGGCAGTTACGAAATAATATACTAACACACTTTTATAAATTAGAATTAGTTACGTGGATGTTTTAGAATTTTATATTGAAATCACAGTTTTGTTATTTTGTTTTACTTCACGAACCGACAGACATTTTTTCACTGATTCATGACACCTATTCTCACTGCTGTCTATGTGTATGTTTTCTTTTTTTTTTATAAGGAGTTTCTATATCTATCAACTCCAACACATTTCACTTCATAACGCTGTATTGTACGACACCTTTGCCATTCCAGTTGTTAAAATAAAACTACTACTACTATCTATGGTGGCGTCTCTCAAATACATATATTAGGACTTTTTGGCGGGAACGTGAGGAGTGAAGTTGTGTGATTTGTTTTATTTTGTCTATTTAGTGTTTCTTCAGGTTTAAATGGTTTTTTTTAATGCTTAGATGGGTGGACGAGCTCACAGCCCACCTGGTGTTAAGTGGTTACTGGAGCCCATGGTAGGAGCCCATGGCCAAGTGAACTTTAATAGATAGACCATAAGAGTAGAGCGCTCAGGAGTGCGAACGTGTGGTGGCCAACATGGTAGCGGTCGTCTCAACGGCAAGCCTTCGGTTTCTAAACCGTAATAACCTATTAAACTAAAACCTAAAAAAATATTTTTTTGTAGAAACGTTGAATGTGGTTCAAGCAGCGGGGCAAGCACACCAAAGACTAAGCGGCATATGAAGTATTTACCAAACATATTTTTGCGTTTATATTTTTTTTAAGTGTATACGTTATTAAATAGTATTTGCTTTATTTTTCAGAAGTCCGCGTAAATCCGATTCTACCCCAAGAAAACGTAATCTGTAAGTTCATCTCAGTATACCACTTACCACCATCTTATTATAAAGTAATTGCTAGCTTTGATTGAAAAAACAAAATTCTTTTTTTGTAGAAACTCTTCGTTCAGTGACAGTCCCCGATGTGATTCTAAAATAACCACTATACCTAACTATGGTAAGTGCATTATAAATAACGTGACCATACGTCCCGCTTTAGGCGAGATTGTCCCACTTTCAGGCTGTCCGTCTCGCTGTCCCCATGAGATCAAAAATGTCCCGCTATCATTTATCTGTTGTGCGTGTGTTTATTAGAAACATACCGAATACTTATCCCAAATCCTTATTGTATTACAAAATACATACTAAAGTACTTAACTCTAATTTTGCTGTAGAAAAGTGGTTTTTTGTTGAAAAATTATTTATAAATATTATTTTAAGTTGGTTTAAGAATTAAGATGTGGGTAACATGAGGGTAAGATACGACAATAAATTATTTCAAGTCATTTTTAAACTATATTTTTTATTTTGCACTTAAAAGATGTAATCTTACTCTGACGTACCCTATATATGTATTTATATACGTAATTCCGTAGACGTCCCGCTTTGACACGAAAAAAAAAGGTCACGTTAATTATTATTATGACATCAACCTTTTTTTTTTCAACAATCTCAGAAGTAAAATACCTATTACAATCGAAACCTGAACTTGTATCTTTTTCCTTTCAGGTAGCGAAGACGATTCTGACAAAGAGGAAGAAGAGGTTACCCCACCGTTCGTGGTGCCCCGGGTGGCAAGAATGTTTATGGATGAAGAAGATGTGGAAGTTGAAGAAACTTGCGATAACGTTACTTTGGAGTGGCTTCCTCAATCGCCTCAGCCATCCAATTGTGTCTCAACGGCTGCCTCACCGACGCCTATTTTGCCGTCTCCCATCGAGCCAAGCAACAAATTTCAATTTGAATGGAGAGCGATTTCAATGCCTCAAATTGAACCTCATTTGAGGCGAGAACCGTTCTCGCAAATTAGTGGCCCTACAGTTTCTTTCACGAAACCATATGAAGCTTTTATTTCCATATGGGATAATGAAATAATGGAAGTAATCGTTAGGGAAACTAACATTTATGCACTGCAGGTGACAACGGCTATGTTAGAGAATGGGAACCTCTATCCTCATAGCCGAATTACTCATTGGCGAGATACAAATGTAAACGAACTTTACGTGTATTTTGCCATGGTTTTGGCTATGGGAATGGTGATCAAAAACCGGATATACGAGTACTGGAACAGCTCTAGAGACATCTTCAGTACTCCTGGCTTCAGCACGGAGATGTCATATGACAGATTCGTGCTCCTGTCAAAATGCCTGCATTTTAATAATAATAAAAATCTTAACTCTGCAATGTTGACAGGATCCCAGGCTAAACTTTTTAAAATTAAACCTATAATAGACCACCTTAATTGCAAGTTTTCAAAATTATATAATCTATCTCAAAATGTGGCTCTCGATGAGAGCCTGACCATGTGGAAGGGCTGGCTTGATATAAACCAGTTCATCCCTAACAAGGCAGCAACAGTTGGGATAAAAACATATGAAGTGTGTGAATCCCAGACCGGTTATTTGTGGCGTTTTGAAGTACATGCAGGCCAGGACACCTTGGCACTTCAAGAAGATGATCCAGTCTCAGGGGGAGTACCAGCTCTCGTGCTCAGACTTTTAAATGGTCTTGAGCATAAAGGGCACACAATATGGATGGACAATTACTACAACTCTCCATCACTGGCACGGGAACTGAAAGTCCGGGGATTTGACTGCGTGGGAACCCTCCGGACAAACCGAAAATTCGTACCATCTGAATTTCAAAAGATTACAAAAAACGACATGATTGTCGGTCAAGTGTTGGGCTGCACCTCGGGAGATGTGGATATTATGGTGTGGAGGGATAGAAACCGCGTGGCTTTAATTTCAACATACCATGGTCTCGTAACTACCAGGTGTGGCGATACATTTAAGCCGACTGTCGTGCAAGATTACAATGCTAATATGGGCGGAGTAGACCGTAAGGACCAGTTACTCGCAATGTACCCCATAGAAAGAAGAAAGACTACAGTGTGGTACAAAAAATTTTTTAGAAGGCTCTTAAACGTTAGTGTCCTAAACTCCTATATTTTACTGAAAGATAAGTCATTGGCACACCGGAATTTCCGGAAGGCGTTAATAACTGAGTTGTTGGCAGTACACAAAAAACCTAAGCCTACGATCATCTCAACAAAATCTCAAGTACATTGCCCAGCACCGTACCCTTTTGTCAAGAGCGGAAAGTCAGACCGCCTTAGACGCAAATGCGCCGTCTGCCCGAAACGGTCTGCCACGTACTGCAAAGCTTGCAATGTGGCAATGTGTATTTATACTTGCTATGAGACATACCACACTTTACACTGAAACTTTACAGATCATTGCCACTTATTGATATACACACATGCGCACGCACACACACAGGGTATTTGGGCACTAGTGTTAGAGATACTTATAAAAAATTATAAAGCTGGTGAGTTGTTATTACCATCCATATTGTTGTGAAGTACTAAATGAAAATGCTGCATTATGTGTTCTACACTTTTTTTGTGTATGTAGGCTTATAATATGGCGGTAGTTACCAGGGTCATGTCACCAATGCAACTCGCAGTCATTAGAAATGGCACATAAATTAAGTGCCCCATTGCATTGTTATGGGTTGGGGTTATTGTGTTTCTTATTTTTATTTATGTATGATCTTTTAACAGTGTGGTATCTGGGTTCAATTAGTTGTAAGTTACCTAGTTGATGCTACTTTCTTTTATAAAACATTTATTTTTGTGTCTTCCATCACGAAATTATTAAAACAATTGTTTATTTAACTTAATAATAATAAGTAATATATTTTTTTAAATAGTGTATAACTGATAAGGTTTTATATATATTACAATAATAATGCCAAGCCCTTTTATTTATGGTTTTACAATCTTAGGTGGCATATAATATTACACTAAGCAATGACTTTTATTAGTAAGTTAGTTAAATGATGTTAGTAATATAAGTACGTGTATTAAAATAATTATAAATTAACAAGAAATACCGGTTTGGGTCCTTTACCCAATCCAATTCAATCCATCCAATCCTTTACCCAATTATGGTCGATACTATCGATGTAGTAGACACATATATCAGTATCGAGTAACCTTTACCTACCTATTATCGGACTTAATCTATTATTTATAATCGATGAGAAAAGTTAGTATATATTTGATAGGAAACTAATTGGTCTATAATTGTTGATATCTTTTGGAACGCCTTTTTTATATATGAGTATAATATCTGCTTCAGACCGTTCTAAGGGTGTTTCAGAACTTAAAAATATGTAATTAAACAGTTAGGTTAACGGTTCTGCCAGAATCTGATGACCATATTTTAGTGATTCGTTTGTGATGTTGTCAGAACCCGGACTTTTTTCAAATTTCAGTTTCTTTATTGAGTTTATTACTTCGGTTTCGTGTATTGGTTGTATAGAGTGGCAGTCTACGGTTTCTGGTTCAATTTTATTAGTGAATATTCGTGTTTTGTCTCTGTAGAGTTTCTTGTATAATTCAGTTGCTGTACCAACAATATCCGTTGGTTTATATAGGTATTTATTAAGGGTTTTCAACCCTTCTATCCAAGAACGGTTTGTTCTATTCTAAGTTCTTTGTATGCTCTTTTTTGCTGCTCCAGAGCTGGAGATTTTTCTCTAATGTTTCTTGTCTATATTTTGCAGTCTCTCTTGATATATTTATTAAGCCGTTTGTACAGTGCGGAAACTTCTTTTTTATTTAACTTATCAATAAAACATCATATTGATTATAAAAAAAAGCGCTGAAATAGCCTCTCAAGGCTATCAGCCTAGGTGGAAAAAAAAAGCAGCATTATATTATGTTCATTTTCCACTATGTTTATGAACATCGTTTTTTATATTTTTCTTACAAATATCTAGCTTCTTTCATTAGAAAGAATGCCCATTTTTATTTAAGATTTACATGGAAATGTAAATCTTAAATAAATAATTATTATAACATTTGTAAACACATATTCTGCAAAATTTTAAATTATAAGAGACATTGTTTTTGTACTAATCTTGAGTCTCATATTTGATACATTCATACTCAAGATCTGTAGAATATAACAACGTGCCATTGTTTAATATAGATTGACGATATGTTTAAATTATTGTAAAACAAATACTCTTTATCCTTGACGTCAAGAATGTATTAAAAACAAATTAAATATGATAGCCACTTAAGTGACATTTGAAGAGGGTATTTTTTTAAATCCATAGTTTAAAGTTTAATAAGTGCAGTATGAAAAATTGTATTAGAACTTAAGCCATTTGGTTTTTATTTTATGAAATACTTAATATTGTACGAAAAACATATTATAATTTTACATCCACCAAGATCTTCATTTTTTATTCATTGGAAAACAAAAAATAAGTTTTAGGTAACCCATGTTATTTCTCATAGAACAGTTGCAATGCAATTCAAAGTCAATTGTAGTGTAAGAAATTACACAACGAAATCTAATTGGATTTTTTTATAATTACATTTAGATTTAACGAAAATTAGGTATTTCTAAACCGTATTTTTAATGTAGTCATGTATAGGTACCGTAAAACTACAAACAAATATGACATGATACTGGGGAGTGGTTTTCAAAATAAAACAATTCATATGACTCCTCGGATTCCCTTCGCGTTAAGTTTGCATTTTTAAACATTGAAACGTTTGACGTCTCAAGTCATTTAATTTTCTTTGTACTTGACTTTGTATTTGAAATAGTAAAACAAATTTATTTTATGACTATTCCTGATGTTATTATTATAAATTGAAGACTGTTTTACAATAAATTACTAGAGTATTGAATAAAAATATTTATAAATATTACTCTACTTGGTGTTTAATTTATCCCTTCTCAAAGCCAAAACGGAAATAAATTATTATAAATATTTAAACGCAAAAGATAGCTATAAAGTTGGACATGTGATAGGTAGAGATAAGATGCATGTGACTAGGAGATGTATGGAAATGGTAATTGCAAGGTAGAAGAGAAAGAGGTCGACCGAAGAAGACATGGATGGAGTGTGTGAATAACGACATGAGACAGAGGAGTGGTTTTGAGATGACAGCTGATAGAAGAGAATGGAAGAGAAAAATTGGCTGTGCCGACCCTACCTGGTGGAATAAGGTGTAGGAAAAAAAGAAGATTTAAACTCAAACAATCAATACTTTTTGTCTAAGAAAATAGAAATAAGTGTGATTTTAATAAAGTAATATTTCGTGAATCCCCAATGTATGTAGGGCAAGTAAAAAATCCCACGTTTCCTTATTGTATGGTAAATTGTATTGAATCTTATGCGTACAACGACAAAAGCCTTTAATGGTTTATATTTTATTTCTTAGACAGGTCAACGTGCTCACGGCTTAAATGATATTAAATAGTTACCAGAGTCCATTGACATCAACAATTTGAGAAATGAACTCTAAGTCTCAGTTCTATAGTACAACGGCTGCCTCACCTTTAAAACTTGAACACATTACTTGTTTGTGGCAGAAATAGGCAGGATACAGGGTAGCTCTCAAGATACCCTCCAACTAGTAGGTAATTACGCAAAATGGGCTTGATTTTTATTAAACTATGTTATTCCGTCATCGTAGAAGTCATTCATGAGTTAAGTATGTACATATTTCATTAGAAAATTTGGTATCTGACTGCGGGATTCCAACACCGGTACAGTCGTATCGCACGATACGAATCCACCGGCGAAGATAACTTAAACTTAGCTTAAGCTTTAGAGGCGATTAAGCACTAAAAATAGTTTTTCATTACTTCAACTTACGAAAAGAAGGATAATAAAATACTAGGCATGTAGTACTAATATTGTCCTAAATAACTCTGATAAACATAGCAATTCTGTGAGAGATAATATTTTATTTTTCGAAATGATGAAAGAACAAGTTTACGATCCAATTGGTAATCCCATAGGCTTCTCAATGTGAATACCCACAACCACTTCCTATAGATATCACTAAAGCTCCACTCACTGAGTTTCTCGCCGGATCTTCTCAGTGGGTCGCGTTTCCGATCCGGTGGTAAATTCTACGAAGCACAGCTCTTGCTAGGGTTCGTATTAGCAACGTCGTCAGGTTTGAGTTGGTATAATGAAGGACGGCTGCGCCACCTTTCAAACAAGGCGTGACTACTTCGCGACAGTCATACGACAATGTCCTCTCGAATTTTTTTGTACGTAGATATACAAACAAGTCCACCTTACATAATTATGTTCCTAACAATATCCGTACCGATGCAAACGCCACCCACCTTAATACGTGAGCCCGAATTTTTTTATGGCACTGTATACCTACTTAGGTTAGTTTAGGATTTTTTCGGACCAATAGACACCACAACGTGAAGAGAGATAGCCTGCAGACTATGCTACCCCGTTAAATAATCTCTGATACTATTATGGTAGTGACCATGCATCTAATTGAATTCTGACCCCTTTACTACCTAATAAAATTACTTTCCCAGTGATAAAATCCAGCATTTACCTATATGTTTTACTCGGTTTAACGTAAATTTATTTCATCCTAAAATATGATCAAATACCTGATAGCAATATTGGGCACATATTATAATTATGACAAAATTGGTAAACATATTAAATAGGTAATGAATTCTCAGCTTTTGAAATTATATCTAGTACCTACTGTTATATTAAGTTTCCATTTTTTCTTAAAAAAATAATAAGGTTACTTTAAATTTAGACTCACTTGCTTTCATGCACTTGTTCATCTACCGATTTTTGCTGCTGCAGCTTATCGTAAAAACCCTTCCACATGGATTCTTCGTCCATTTTGCGATGTCTTCTCGAATATTAACACTATTCACTATTTAATTTCAACTCAAGAAATTGACTCACTGTCGTAGCCGGTAGACGTTCGATGATCATAAAGAACTATTGTATACAATCTACCTACAACGATTGATGTTGAATCACCGGAACGAAACGAGTCATATGGTCAAAGAAATGACGTAAACATCGCAAGTTAACTCGAAAATCTTGATCGCACAGTGTACACAGTAACTTTATACTGTTTATAAGGTCTCGGAGACGAGAAAATGTTTCACTCTACATTGAGGTCACCGACACTTGAGCACAGACATGTTAGATATTACATGTGACTTTAAATGTTTGCACGTTTTAAATATTTATTTTCGTAAACAAGACTATAATCGATTGTTTTGATTTCGCAGACGAGAACAGCCAAAGTTTACTGACGTAATCCGGGGTATTTCGAGGTCGTTGAAATGTTTTGAAACGTTATGAACGTACTGTGGCCTGCGCACACCGCACCGCGCCAGCAAACTAAAACTAAACGAACTGCATCACATTCACAGCACGTGCTCTTGTAATAACTAACCTTAATCTAAATGTAATAACGAATACTAATCAGACATTCAATATTTAAACAGGCTTTGTTCTATTATTTATGACACATATCCTATATTTGAATTGTGCTACCCTCAGATCGAAATCTTGTGAATCCTGTCATACCCAACCTACGTTCATTGCTATGGGGTGAGGTAGGTACGAATAACCACATCGAGGGTTGAAAGGCTAGGTTTTTTATTATTATTATTGCACAGACGGGTGGACGAACTCACAGCCCACCTGGTGTTATGTGGTTACCGGAGCCTATAGACATCTACAACGAAAATGCCGCCACCCACCTTGAGATATGAGTTCTAAGGACTCAGTAGAGATACAACGTCTGCCCCATCCTTCAAATCGAATCGCATTACTGCTTCACGGCAGAAATAGGCAGGGTGGTGGTACCTACCCGTGCGGACTCACAAGAGGTCTTACCACCAGTAATTTGGTTTAAGCGACATTTATCTTTGTAATTAAAGGTCCTTGTTATTTGGTATTGGCATCAACAGTTCGATGTTTTTAATTGTACTTCAATTAAGTTTACTCCATTGAAATAGGCTATGATTTTTTTTTGTTATGAGATTTTTTCCAAATTTTAAACTTTACATGGCTCTCCTGCAAAGTTGCAAAACTGTCGCTTTAACTAAATAGTACATATAGCGTTTCACCCGTCGATATAATTTCAAGGTACTATTAAAAGAATGGTCTCGTAATCTGTATCAAAAAATTGAGATAAAAGCAATATTACGGTTTGCAAGCGTCGATAGGTAGGTACCTACTCACGTTGCAATATCCGGGAACTACACTAAGCGCTTCTGCGGACTGCAAATGTACGTATGTAAAAACTATCAGTTCCAATTTTATGACAATAGTTTTGAGATTTGCATTTTCGTGCCATAATACTAAAGTAAAACGCGTATAACCATGTAATCGGTTAAGAAGTTAATCTTAAGCTCTTCTGCGGACTGCAAATGTATGTAAAAACTATCAGTTCCAATTTTATGACAATAGTTTTGAGATTTGCATTTTCGTGCCATAATACTAAAGTAAAACGCGTATAACCATCTAATTCATTTTTCAAATTGAATCGGAAGAAACGATATGATTAAGTGCTAATTGCGTCGTGCCATTTTCAATGTAACAAAGAGGCGCACGAATATTCACCAAAGCAAAGTTACGTCATTCAGTTAATCACCTGCCCTGGTAAATGACAACAGCTTTTCATTTAGATAAAGAGTTAAACAGGCGTATCTGGCCTTGCCTAATAAAATATGAGATTTTGATGTTTCAAACAATTGTTTGTTTTGAAATCATCCTCAATTTGAAATGAATAAAATAATTTAGTTTTTTTTTAAATGAACGTCTCTGTTTTAGTCCCACTTAGTTTTTTAAATAACCAAAATTAGCAGTTTAGTCTTGTAACCTAAAACGCCTTACGCTTGCCTCAAACTACTGTGACGTCTGAGTGAAAAATATACAAACTTGTTCGTGCCCATGGTATTGGTGTAGGTACCTATGACTGACGCTAATCTATCATCGTCAGATCTGTCTTTAAAGGTGCTTTGAAGACAATATATTAGCGAAACCTTCACAAATGTCACATGATTTTTTTCCTACCTTTGCTGATAGCCTTTTTGGCCGTTGGATCTAGACATTTTTTAATTTATTAAAATCTCTTACTGTTCTTTAATAATACATTTACAATAAGTAAATACTGAATTTTAAGAAAGATAGTCTGTCTATCTAATTGCTAAATTTATAATGATGAATATTAAATAGTCTAATAACTATAACTTTTTATAAATTAAGTAGTGTGATTGAACATAAACATTGATTTATAGAATTCTCTAAAATTTAAATCAATCACGTAGATGCCGCCACCTACTCTGATAACATGAGTTATAAGACTCCGTTTTTACAGTAGTTTGAAGGGCGGGGCAGCCGTTGTAACTATACTGAGACCTTAGAACTTATATCTCAAGGTGGGTGGCGGCATTTACGTTGTAGATATCTATGGGCTCCACTAACCACTTAACACCAGGTGGGCTGTGAGCTCGTCCACCCATCTAAGCAATAAAAAAAAAGGTAGAAATAATAAAAATAAATTTACAATGTGTTATTTGAAATTTTAAATTTATAAGTTAAATGCACCCATTATAATAATAAGTACATTAACTATTTGTTTATCCAATAACTAGTGAAACCCGGCCATGCTTCGCTGTGTGAAACGTTAATCGTAAGGAAAACATCGATTCCTTAACCACCACCTACTGTATGTTGATATTACTATGATAGAAACCTATCATGGAGTGCCAACAAAAACTACACGCGGCTTCATCACGATCGGATGAATGGTTTAGGAACGCATAGACGACTGACATGTAAACATAATATGAACATTGTTCTTTTTTTCCCAA